AATATAAGCCATTGTAAAGCATATTTCGAACGATAGCAATAAAAAACAAGCATTATTACCGGAATCGATACGGACCAAAACGGCCCTTTTTTGCCCCCCTTTTTTTGTTAGCAATACGTTTGGCAATTAAAATAAACAAATTTAACAATTTTAAAATGGAAAAGAAAAACGACCAATTAAAAACGCAAATATTAAAAGAACGAACCGCTTTAAATAAATAACCTAACGCTAAATTAACAATCGGATATAATTATTTTAACCATTAACCCAATATAAAAAAGCCATAATTATACGTTTAACCATACCCAGCAATATCCAGCAATAAGTTCGGGAATAAATTGTTGCTTTACATATTTTAGCGCGTACGGATTTTTTTCCGCGCCATTTTTAGCACCCGGTTAAAAAACGCCAGGTTATTTTTATTATTACCTTGCTTTATAACCGCTATATTTAGCTACTTACATAAATTAAAAAGTGCAAAAACAACGAAAATAATACCATTACCAAAAAAGGACCGGCATTTATTAATTGCTAAGCTTGCGTAAAAGCAAATTTTTTAACTTTTAAATCGTTAACGACCTTTGCAGCATCGTTAGCACGCAATAAAGCGTTAAAAGCTTTTAAAGCGTAAAAAGTAAAGGCTTAAAGCACCAATACTATATTGCTGGAAAGGGACCGTACAAATTCCAAACCAATAGCACCGGCACTTATAAAAACCCCAGCGCCAAAAAGGGAAAGCATTTGGAAACGGCTAAAAACAAAACCAGCACCGGTAAGTACCCCGAATTTGTTAAGCCCGTTTTTGTTAGCACGCCGGAACGTATAAATTTTAGCAATTAATGCGTTATAAACCGCTTAGCACCGTACCATACCGTTAACGAACCGATAAAGCACAAAAAACCGATAAAATTAAAGCAATTTATTAAACATTTGCGGCAATTATTTAACCCGAAATTGCGCATATCCTTAGCTTTAAAAAACGATTGGTAATATTTGGCAAAAAGTACGGCCGCAATACGAGCTTTTTTAATAGCAACGGGGTAAAGCTAAAAAAAAACACGTTAACGACCCGGCTAAATAACGAAAAAAAAAAGGAAAAAACGATTTACCGTATTACACCGGATGTTCCAATTGGTATAAAAACGATAAAACAATGCGTTTGTATTTAAAAAAATTAGCAAATTAACAAATAAAAAAATTATTTAAAACCATAAAAAAAACGAATTAATTTTAAAATAACACATTGCAATTTTGCCAAACCGTTTTTTCCCGTTTTGCTTTTTACCCAAATTATTAAGCAAATAACCAATGCAATTTACGCAAATGTTACGCGCAAAATTAAATAATTAACCGGAGCGCAAACGGGAAAAAAACGAAAAAAGCATTTACGTTATTCGATAATAAAGCAAAATGCTTTTAAGGATTTCCGTTAAAGCATTTATCGCTTTGCGGGTTATAAATTTATATTGCTAAACAAAAAAATTAAATTAAAATAAAAAAATAAAAACAATTTAGCGGCAAAAAAATAAAAAAAAACGAATTATATAATTAGCATTAATTTGCGCGTTGCCGCCGTTATTATTGTTAGCGTTAAAAAAGCCGTTATTGCTATTAAGCACTTTTACCAAAAAAGTACGGAAAGCGGGCCAAGCAAAAAAAGCGTTAGGAGCAACGGAATCGGGAAAAGGAAAAGCAACAATTGCCGCCCAATTATTATTACAAACGCCGTTACCGCCGCGGCTAACGCGTTTAGCAAAATTAGCTTTGGCCGTGCTTTTTTTTAAAAAAAAGCCGTTAATTAGCATTGCAACCGATTAAAATTAAAAGTAAAATTGGAAATGGCTAAAAGCGAAAAAAAAAGGTACAACCAAGCGTTAAAAATAAAAAGCGCGTTAAAAAAAATTAAAGCGATAAAAATTAACCGGAAGCAATGTAATAAAAAAGTAACGGTTAAAAAAAAAAGGATTGCATTAAAAAAGGAAAAAATTAAAAAAAAGGTAAAAAAAAGGTAAAAAAAAGGAAAAAAAAGGAAAAAAAAAAGAAAGAAAGGAAAAAAAGCAAGCAAAGCAAAGGGAAGGCACCGGCGAAAAAGCAACCTTTCCGAACCCGCCCGAAGCTATTACGCTAGCAAAAAAAAGCACGATTACTTTCCAAATACAATTACTTACCCTTAACAAAGCCATAAGCATTCGAATGGCAAATATAAAAAGCACCGCCATTTTAACGAAAATAACCAAGCATTAAACCAACAAAAATACGCACGAAAACGTTAATAAAAACAACCACCGATACCCAATTATATAAAAAAAAACAATAACAAAAAACAAGCTATACTATACCGGATACGAACCGCATCCGGAAGCATAACGCGGGGCCGGAAAGCGCAAAGCGCTAGCTTTACGCAATAACCACCCGGTTAACCAAGCTTTCGCCCATTAACGGCGATTGCCGGAGCTACCCCGAAGCAATGGCGCTTTTTTAAAACCACATTTCCTATACGTTTTCCTTATAATTTTTCCATATATTAACCTTTACCTTTACTTTACCATTACACCCCCCTGGCCGGGGGCACGAAAACGCTTTTTTGCCGGAGCATTTATTAGCAATTAAACGAACCACAATAAACGGAGCCGGCGGTTTAATACCGACCCGGCACCGGTTCGTAAGCGCAGGGTTTTCCTTTTTAAGCTAAACCCAAGGGTTTCCCTTACGCAATACTTAGCAATAGCACTAAGGTTTTTTTTATAAATAAAATAAAGTATAAATATAAATATATATATATATATATATATAAATTAAATAATAATATTTTGCTTTTTTTAAAATACGCTAACCGGATATAGCCTAATTCCCCATACCCGTAACACCGTACTTTTAGCTTTTTCCCTTTCCTTTTTTAACCGGGCCCTTTTTAAATAAGGGTTAGGGCCGTCGGGGTTTCCGCATCGTCCATTCGTATTTTGCATGCCGCGGCAATATAGCTTAATTACCCGCATTTATAGCAAATAACCGGCTTTTTAGTAATTAAAACACTTATATTTCCTAGCGTTTTTTTAAATTATTCCGATATTATTTTTGCTTTAAAAGCTTTTGCTTGCAAATTTTCCATTATGTAAAAAAAGCTTTTAAACATTATTTATTTTTAAATTTCGGGGCGAAAACGGTTGAAAAGCAATGTCGTTGTCGTCCATTTAAATGCTAATTTAAAAAAATTGTTTTTTATTAAATCCTAACAAATCCGAAATGCTTTAAACAATTTGTATTTTTTTTTATTTAATAACAATATCCCCCGCAAACTTTTTAATTGTTTGCTACATTTGCAAATCGGGGTTTTTTAATTTTGCTTAAAGTTACCGCAAAAAATCGGCTTAAATAACGGTAACCAAATATCCGTATAATGCATTTGCTTGTATTTCGTTTATTATGCCCGCCGTTAATGGTTAAAAATATTGGAAATTATTTAAACCTTTGCACGGTTTTTATTATAACGCCTTTTTTTGCTTTCGAAAATAAATTCGTAATTGTTAATATAATAAGCAATATTTTGCTACGTTGCAAATTTTTTAGCATTAATGGTTTAAAAATAACTTTGCTTTACGTAAAACCTTTTCGTTTTTTAAAAGTATTTCCTTTATTTTCGTTTAAACTTTTATGCGTATGCTTTAACCCTTTATTTTAAATTTTCCAACGGGCGCGTTTGCTATAAATTTCCAACGCGTTGTTTATTTTTTGCAGCTTTTTTACGAAAAAGTTTTCGAAATTGTTAAAAATTTGCGGGGCTTTTTTGGTATTTTGTTCCGGTAACCCGGCGGCTTTTTCCAAAGTGCTCGATATAGCATCGGGCGTTATTATAAACAATGCGGGGTTGCAAATGCTTTTTGCAAATTTGTTTAATCCTTTCCGGTAATTACCCGGGCTTGCCCTTTAATAAAATAGGAAAAAGAAAAAAACAATATATTAAAAGCCAATTCGTACAAAAACGGGTAATTACCAAATTATAAATTGGGTACGGTATTTCCCCGTATAAACCAATGCAATTCTTTTTCCAAATTGCTATTATTTAATTAATTATTCCTTTTTTAACTTCCCCCCCTTTCGTGCCTTTTTGGGGGCACGCGGGGTTGGTTTTATAAGTCCTTCCCGTATTCCAAACGCTTTCGTGCAATTTAGGCTTCGTTTTATCTTTTAACCTTGCCGTTATGTTTTGGCCGCAATACCGGTAATTCGCCGGCACGTTACCGGAAAAGTCCGTGCTTTGCTGCCTGTCCTGTCGCCTTTTCCCTTCCTTTGCTTGGGCGGCCTCGCCCGTGCACCTAACATTAAGTCCTTGTCTTTGGAGGACTCGGGGTGGTTCTTATATACATGAGTCCTAACCTAAGGGGCACCCATTGGGTTACGTAATCCGTGCCCAGCACGGATTCATAACATAAGTACAAGCTTCCCCGCAAGAACTTATAAGCTTAAGGCCGCAAGGGCTTATTACGTACTAAAAGCAAAAAGGTTATAAGTTAAAGCCAGCTTGTAAGAAGCAATTTAAGCAATTTCTTCCTTAAGCTAAAGTTATCGCTTTTACCTTATAGTAATATAAAACTTTAAACCCAATTAAACCTTTTGCTTTATCGTAATTACTTTGTACGGCTTTCGTTTTAACCCCGTAACACTTAAGCCCTTAATACCCGTACTTAAAGCTTTTTTTAAATTGTATAAAGCATTTCCTTTGTAATAATAAATTTAAGGTATACTAGCAACGGTAAATAGCAAATTATTAATAATTTTACGGAATTAAAAAAATAAAATAAAAAAAGCGGGAATAATTTACCGATCCCTTTTTTAAAGGGTGCTTACAAAGCACAGCCTCAAGTATTACAACCCGTTCCCCAGCGACTGCGACAATATGGACCCAGCCGATGCCTTCTTGGAAAGAAGTGGCGGCGCTCTGCAACGCGGCCTGGAACTTAAACTCGCGTTTCAGGCACGATTGCTACGGGCACGCATTGTTTCCTAAGCATAACTAACCTCTCCATGGGCGTCGACGTTGTAGTGCGGCGCGGTTTCGTGTCCATATTAAGCGCCGGATGGTACACGAGGACATGTGGGAAGTTCGAGGACACGATGACAGGGGGAAACATCAATATCCACATGACCGGACAAGCCCTTCGCCCTTAAGTTCGGGTCATGGGGGTCATGACGCATGTAAATCCTCGCAACACAGGTCTTCCAGTCTCGGCTACGATTTATATACAAGAGAAAGCCTCCGACAGCTGGTTCCCCCACGGTCGCCCACCCCACTACTTCCTATTGGTCATCTTAACCACAAAGGCGCCCCTCTCGATGGTGTTGATAACGATGAAGCCGCTCTTGAAGAACGGGTAGTTGCTCCAAGTGCCCACAAACTCGACCGTGCCGCCCCCAGCCACGTTGTCGTCCTCTGGGTAAACGTCAAAGTATGCCGCCTCGCGCACGCCGGCACCCGTCGGGTCGCTCGGAAGAGACGCCAGATCCAGAACCCGGAGTCCGTTGGCGTAGTTGCTCTGGAACGCGTACTGGCCGACGACAAACTGGTTATGGTCAATGCCGCGAATTGCGCTGCGGAAAAAGCCCGTCTGCTTAGGCTGCTCCAGCGATCGGATGTCCCAGAAGTACGTGATCGCGCGTCGGTCCGCCCCGGGCCCAACTCGATCGTACTCGTCGTACTCGTCATCCAAGACGAGATACTCCTGCCAAGTGGTGTTCGTGACCCAGCCTTGGTGGGTGTACGCCGCACCGGCGTAGGTGGTACGGGAGATGATGTTGGTGGTAGACTTGTCGGTAACGTCGTAGCTTGGAAGAGAGAAGCGGTAGCTTGTCAGTGGGGGTGACTCATCGGCTTCTCTTGCTCTGGTCCAGTGCCTCCTGTATACTTACATCGTCAAGGTGTCCTCATTGTAGCCATAGCAGATATCTCTGCCGAAGTACTTGGTATCAGGGCCGCGATACACCAAGCATTGCGCCTGCACACAAGGTCAGTACTTTCTGGCACTTCGCGGACCTTTTTAAAATCACGAGATGAATAGGCAACGCACATCATGGACATAGCCGTCGCCTGCCGCGCACCCCGGCGATGTCGGCTTGGTCGGGTCGGTGAGGTCGATAAAGATGAGGCCTGAGCGGCAGGTGCTGGTACGTGGCTGAGCGCCCACCGCCACTGCGTATCCCTTTTCCTCGTTGACGACGATGTTATGGGAACGTCCCGACGGGAGCCCGTTCCACCATGACGTCAGGTCGCGAGAGTTGCTGAACGTGACTGGCCTGGCCGGATCGATGGTCAGGAGCTGCACATAGGTGTCAAATCCGGCGGTTAGGTCATGAACGTGCGGTGAGTGTTCCTGTTCGGGACGGCGGGCACACAAACCTTGCGAAAGTCGAATACTTGGACACCGTGATTGGTGGCTTCGCTGCCGATGACCAGAAAGCTCTGTGGAGTTTATCAGCTATCCGCGTTACTTATCTGACCAGGAATCTTGCACCCATACCTTATAGGACCTCATCTCGCGCCAGATTGAGGTGGAGGAGTACTGGGGTAGGCGGCCCAAGTACACCAGCTTGCCCTCGCTAGTGACCTCGGCAAAGGCGGCGCCGTCTGCCTGTGCGATGGCAACAAACTCCCTGCCCTCGGAGCTGGTCCACCCCCAGCTTGCGGCACCCTGGCCGCTGCCGCTTCCTAGGTCAGCGTGGGACTTGAAGTCGTAAAAGTCCACCTGTATAGAAAAGTAAGGGTTAGTGGACCAGTCCTGAAAACCAGTTGAACAGCCCAGGAGCGAAGACTGACATTATTGCACTTGAACGTGTTCTTGGCATCGTTAGGGATGACCTTAGCCAAGCCACCGACGCAGGGGATCGGAGCCGCAGCGCGAGCGAAGCTGGGGTACTGGCTGGAGTTCATGAGACCCATGGCCTCTTCCTCGGCCCAGAAGGACTCCTTTGTGCGCATCAAAGTCATGTGAACTTCTCCGGACTCGTAGCGCATCGCCTTGGCGGCAGCGGCAGCGGACTGGAGAACCCCGGCAGCGGCAGTGGCAGACTCGGCCAGGGCCACAAGGGCCGCGGCGAGCATCTGACTTGACCTCATGGCGTTGAGCTGTATCGAGAGTGCCTGCGTCTGGGCTGGCTGGAGGGGCTCTTGGGAGGGAGATCGAGCGTGCTCTCGACTGGGGGCTGGAGGGGAGCAGACCGAGTTCACCTATGGCGGGGTCCAAGGGACGTATTTATCGAGATCCCCCGTGTGGACATGAATCTTGATTCGAGGACCTGACTTCCTGCAATGGAAGGAGGTCTCGATGCAGTGTACCCAAACAGGAAGGTTATATGATTCGCATCAGAGCTCCCAGCCAAGTCCGGCAGCGCCGGGGGTGTAGCCACCGCCCGCTCACAGAAACCCGGATTGTGTTGGCTTTTTCTCGCTTTTGCCGGGTCTTGATGGCCGAGCCGAGCGTGTCAGTGCGGGTGTGTGGCCTCCACGCGCCGGCCCAGAGCGTGTCATGCGGGCGGGCGATTAGGCTCAGTCTACACGCAAAAGCGCTGCAGGCGAGCCGAGATACGGACTAACTCTGAGATGTGACACCTAGCCAGCGCCAAGAGCATCCATCGCCTTAGCCAGCTTCCTGCTTGGGCGAGAGTGGGGGGAGGGGCCGAGGTATATACCTATGCTGTCCAGGAGGGTGTGCGTCCCACAACAAAGCCTACCCAAGCCAACCCCCGCGGCGGGCCAGCTTGACATTGCTGCGCGTATTCGAAATCAATGGCCAATGTCGAGATAATCACCAGTATTATAAGTGATAAGTGGTTGCGTGATGCGCCTATCGAGCCGGATCTAGCAGGTAATCTCTGCTGACGTTGCATTGCCGGCTTGGCGTAACAAGTGCCGCCGCCTGCGGCGGCAATTTGCCCAAGCTCGGCAGCGGGAATGTGCGGCTGTAATGAAGCGTGATACGGGCCGCATGAGGCGGCATATCGAACTCGTTCGTGTTGCACTTTTGATACCAAAACACGGTAGTTGGACATAATATGGGGCGGGGCTGGGGGAAAGTGTTAGTCTGGTGATCCTGCGGTGGTAGCCGCACGGGCGCGAGGTGAAGAAGAGGGGAAAAGCCGGGCCTAGATGCCAGGTGCGAATACGTTAGACGAAAACAAGAAAAACGAAACATAAAGCTAGTGTGGAGGCACAGTTACGGCGGGAACCTTCGCGGCCCGCCCCCTTTTCTGGGCGCGGCTGCTGCTCACCAAGGGGGTCCGGGCTTGGTGTATGCTGGCGGGGCATGGTAATAGCTTGTCGACGAGGCAGCTGGAACTGGGGCGAGGGATGAGCCGAACTGAATGAGGGTGGTGTGGATGGGTTGGCCCTGGCGGAATCAAGGGCAGATTCGAACCGGGAGGGTTTTGTGAGGAACTGAACCTTTGATCTTGCGGAGTTATCTATCTAGGACTCCACCAAGATGGAAGGTGCGTATTAGTACGGGTTCGTATGAAAGGAGTGATGTATCTTCCGTCCGTAGGCCTGTCCCTGGAATCGATGTAACGGCTGTCGAGGTCCACCACAAACGCATGGCGCATACCAAAATATCGGACGAGCTAGCTCCTGGAATCATCGGCCTCGCAATCCTCGCCTGTCCGGTTGCTAGCCAGGCTGACGGGGCTGCGGTAATGCGAGAGGATGAACCGGATCCATCTTCGAAATCCCACGCGATTCCGCGCCGGGCCTTGCCCCTGGGGCGTCTGGCCCACGGGACATCAAGGTAGTCGACGATGGATGGTGATGGCTTGGTACCAAGATAGATGGGACAGAAACATTGAATCACTTTCCCTGCGCACGAGATGTGGGTACTCCACACGCCTGGAATCGTTCCATGCCACCATGGTACTTGAGATCGACAGCGGATTGATCATCTTATAAAGTTAGATATTGGCAGCGAAGTTGAGATTGTCGCCGTGGTGTCTCCTATACTCCGTAAATGCTCCAAAAGTCCCTGTCCCATCTGCCATGGGGAACATGTGTCAAGTATGAGGATGCCCATCGAAGCTAACATCCGCTTTTCGTTTTTCGGATCGACTAGGTTATAACACGCCATCCAGTCCCAGAGAGGATCGCATGCATGCTTATGGTATCTTCGTTCCCCAAAACAAAAAAAGATTTCCCCAAACGCCACCGATCCCGGTTGTGCCATAATTCTGGTAGTGACCCATCCTAAACGCCGTCATCACACAAGATAAAAAGAGGGTAAAAAAATATGTACATGGCATACACCGGGTTCGCCGGAAATAAACCAAGAAAATATGGAACAGCGAAGGGGATTAGAAGAAGTGGAAGTGCACAAAACACTGATCAGCACCACACGGTGCGTGAGGCGCCGTTCATCATCAGCATCTCGAACCCCTCGACCTTGTTGCGGAGACCCTGATTATCCCTCGCCAGGGCCCGGTTCTTCCGCTCCAGGTGGGCGATGTACTCGGTGGCTTTGCTGAGAATGGTGGCCTTGTTGAGCTTGTGGGCGGGGGCGAGACCGCCGAGGTCCTCCTCAAAGTCCTGGGCGATCATACGGCGGCCGGCGTCGACTTCGTCGTCGTCGGACCCGGGGTGGCCCTCGAGGCGATGCACCATGACGCGCAGGGCGGGGACGGCATCGCGTAGGGCTGAGATCTTGTCGTTGAGGTTGTTCCGATACCGCTTCTCGATCATGTTGTGGGCCGTCTTCTTCGGGGGCAGTGCAATGGCGACGCGGGGAGCGCCCTCTTTGCCCGATGCGGCTCTCCTGGTGGCTGGGGGCGGCGATGCGGAGCTCCTGGGCGACGAGTCGGTGGAGCAGCTGGAGCTTGTGGATTTGCGCTTCAGTCCGCGCGTAGAGCGCTGGCTCTGACGGGTGGTAACGGTGATTTCAGGCCTTGTTTCGGGGCTGCGGGCGCAGTGGTTCACCTGGGCGGGGTTCTGGGCGCGGGCCAGCTGTGGTGAGGGAAAGAGGGGGCCGTTGTCGGCGAGCTGGCCGCTCCCGCCGAAGGGCACTATGTCATCGGCAGAGGCAGATAGATCCATGGGGTTGATGGCGGGCGAGTCAAGAGCCTCGGACTTGAAGAAGACGTCGGGTGACGACAGAGAGCCGAAGGACGTGGTCCACTCAGTGCCGGCCGAGCTGGGCACGGGCAGCGATAGTGAGTCGGGCGAGACAGGAGAGAGGGGCGAGTCCAATTCGGGCGACGTTGCCGACTCGGCGGCAAAGTCCATGGGGTTGAAGTCCTCCAGAGGGTTGCTGTAGAGGGCGACTGGGGAGAAGTCGAAGGCCTGATGGTGGCTTGTTAGTATGTTTGCTGTCCGGCGTGGTTTTTTGTGCTATGTCCTCACCTGTGGTTGGTCTTTGACAAGATACGAGGTGGAAAAGGGGTCGTATGGTATTGAAGAGTTGAGCATAGTGCCGGCCATGGTGGGTGGAGACGTGTGATGGTTGTCGAGTATAGTGTGGGAGAGACAGCTATTCGGGGATGGGGTGAGGTGGCGTTAGGGTGTGGCTGGCAGTGGTGTGTTGTTGCTGTGATGCTGTCTTGATAGTATTGGGTGTCTTTGGCGTGGTGTGGTCTGTCCACGATGAGGGCAGCTTTGGGGACGGTGCGTCCATCTTGTTATAAGGGCACGCATCAGTTTTCACGCGCGGCGAGCCTAGAGCCGAGCCGAGGGGCAACCGAGCCCTGTCCCTACGCGGCGATCGGTGCGCCCCGGAACCCATTGCTGGGACTGGTGTTTCTTGGTTTCCGTGGCATGGAAACGTCCCAACTGACGATTCCTGGTCGGCCATCGAATGATGGGGCCTCTGGCCTGCGAGCGCACCGCGGAGGACCCCGCCAGCCCTAGACGGTAGAGGGCCCCACCCATAGCGCCTGGATGAGCTGCGTCAGGGTGGGCCCTAGGTCCCTCCTTACGTACGACACGGTGCCATGTCGTCTTGGATGGGCCCATTAGCCATGGTCAATTGGATTTGACCAGATGGTATTCTCCCAGATTCGTGCAATCCATTTGAGTTCCGTTGTCGGTGTCCATTTCCATAGGCCTCATTTCGCGGATGGGAGCCGGCAAGCAAAGTGCAACATGGGGATTGCGCCCACAAAGCAAAAAAAAAAAAACCGACGACCAAGCCAGGCGGGGAATGGCTTGTGCTTCGGCATTTGCTCGGGCGGGGTTTGACTAAAAGCTCGCTTGGGTCCAATGGTGTTAGCATTTAACCTTGTTGCCAAAACGGGCGGACGACAGTTACAGCTGTGTCATCCAGCTGCATGCGCACCGCTTGAAATGGTAATACGAAATCCAAATGCGCCTCTCCAAGAAGGGCGGGCATCTTGGCCGCTCAGAGATTTTATTCCTGGACGCCGCCGAGCGCTTGACAGGCGGGAAGGCCCCATATTTCCACATAGCCAAGCCTGCAAAGTGGCCTGATGTCGACGGCGCGGGCTCGACGGTCCAGAACAAGGGCTGGCTCTCGAAAATCGAACAATTAAGGCTGGTCTCAGCCCCCACCACCACGCGAGCTGCCTGACCGGCACTCTCCGGCTGGCGTGATGTGCTGCCCTGGAGTACAGGGCGATGGTACCGCCCACGCCTTTGCTGGGTGCCCTCGGTACAAGGAGCGGCGGGCCTTTGTAACGCGGGATATTATCATGCCCCGTGGCTCGCCTTCTGTCAGCTGGCAAAGGAAAATTTATGCTCGTTCATAGGGCCAGCAGCCCAACAAGTTCAGATCGCGATCCGTTCAGCTTCGGGCTTTACTTTTCCCCGACCGTCAGACACGTGCCAATCGACACACCCAGCAGCTTGACCGAACATAGGCAGGATGTGGCACGGAGCACAGCAATTGTGACCGCCTCCGTAGCTGTTGGTGTAGCAGCACTTCTTGTCACACTTCGGGTGATCGCCGCCCCGGATCTTCTTTTGGCCGGCATCCGAGTTATCCCACGACAGCTACACCGGAACGGCCCGCACTTGGCTTACCGATTGAAAGACCCTGATCAGGGGCCGACCAGTCGTCTTCATCCCTAAGCTGGACCGACAGCTACATTGCGTAAATCTCGAAAAAAAAAAAAAAAAAAAAAGAAGAAAAAACTTGCTAACTCACCTGCTCACCTACCTTTGAACTGAAAATTGGAAAAACACCGACTCACTTACCTTGGGGAGAATAAATTAAGCGAAAGAGGCTTCCTAAACTCCCTGATTATCTTTATCTACAAGCGCTAATTCCCCAAGGCCCGACCTACTGAAATCCCGGCTTCTGAGGTCCCGGGTACTGTCCCGGGTGTTGAGGTCTCGGGTACTAACGGCCCGGGTGCTGTCCTGGGTACTGCTGTCCTGGGTGCCGAGGTCCTGGGTGCTGGCCTCCAGGGTACCATCCCGGCCCAAACTTGGCGGCTCCCAATTTCTCAAGCCATGCGATGAGCGCATCTCCAAAGGTACCATGGCCCGTCCAGTGGCGCCGGTATGGTAGTTTGCGGGCGTTTTCCAGCTCTACGGACGCGAGGAGAAGTTCCGTCACGGCCTGGTGCCGGTCATCTTGGGCAATGGCTCTGTGCGCGTTGGTAACGTGTATTACCATGGCCCATCTAACTTTCATCTCCGCAACCGCCTCCTTGGGATAGTTAATGTGGTCGCGCAGCTTCTGCAACCGGCCGGAGGGGTCGCGTGTAAAACATTGCGGGTCGAACCGTTCCAGCTCGCCGAGAGTCTTCTCCGTCAAGTCGTACGCTTTGAAGACCTCGGGCGCCGGGAATTGGTTCCTTGTATTCAGAAACAAAGCTTTCCACAGGTATTCGTCGCGTCTCTGGAGCTCCTTAACAAAGGCGTCGACGATCTCATCGTGCAGCTGGCGCAGCAGGCCAGGGTATTGCATCTGCGCGAAGCCCGCGTCGAAGGCCTTCAGCTTCTCCAACGCCCCCTTCGCCTCCATGTATGCATTTCTCGTCGAGCGCCACGCTTCCGTGGCGGCGAAGCTCCTGCCGTCTTCCGAAGGTTCCTCCTCTTCGCACTTGAGCGCGTGCTCGCGGCACTCGACCGCGTTGTGGTGGCAGTTCCTGTAGTTCATGTCGAGATCCTCGCGGTCCCCGAGGTGGTTGCGGTAACCCACCTCTGCCTCTTTGAGCAAGGCGGCCGCATTGGCTATGTCTCGTTCTTTTTCCTGGATGATCCATTTCTGGTGTTTCAGCTCCAGTGACATCTCCAGCTGACGCTCGTACGCCTTGAGAGCGTACCCGTACAGCTTGATCGCCTCGGCGAAGGCCCTGTCCTTGCATGCCTTTTTGCCGGCCTTTATGCCTCCCCCCGCAAGGATCGACAGAGACTCGAGTTGGTCCGCGGCATCTTTCATGTCGGTGTCAGTTCCCTTGCGGCTACTGCTGCTCCTGGTCTTGTGGTCCTTTCTGTGGCGCGACCCGTGGTCACGCCTGCTCGGTCCGTCGTAGGAGTCCATGGCTTTTGGGAATTTGATGAGAGTAAACAGGCAGAGAGGTATGAAGTTGCTGGATTGTGCTGTGCTACCTCGTCCGCTTCGTGTCGCTGCTCGCTGATAATTAGATCTGGTGAGGCCATGTTCCCATATGACTGTGCCTATGTATTTATGTATAACCCACAAGACGACCCTCGTCTTAGTCTTGTTTCCTGAATAATGAAGTTCCGGATCACGATGAATGGCATTGTTGCCTAGCTTGCTGTACCCCTTTGTTGGCCATTGATCCAATCAATGCAAACAATGACAAGTCTCGATCTAGGCATGCACGACAAGTCCTCGCTGTCTGGGGGTTCTTTGTTGATTGCAACCCTCTAATTTGTGCTTAATTGGAAGTTCCTACCTTGCAGGTCGATCCGTCCAAACCTCATCACTATGCCGAGAATGGTGGTGGGAGCCTGTCAAGGGATCCGGCATTCAGTAGACCGCTTTGGGAGGTCTCTGGTAGCAGCGCGTGGTAAAGCTTTGTATTCGCTTGGCTCAATGATCTCAGCCAGTCTTGACATTGTGTGCCCGGTCTTTATGAAGACAATGAGAACTGGCTGCGCTCGGCAGCCGAATACACGCTTAAGACCCCGAATCGATCCATTGAAACAACCAATGAACAGGGCCGGCGGCTCCCGTCGCGCGTGCGTTGCTGGCGACGTGCGTTGTATGAACGCTACCCATGGACAACCGACAAGACCCGGAAAGGTCCATTGCTCCAAGCCCGCTCCAAATCCCTGCCACACCTGCTCGGCATGAAAACGTCAAGCATGTGCTACTACCACATCCAACAGTTCGAACAATGTCTACATGTCGTCTTCGAGCGGCCCAGGCCCTGCTTGTTCCGCGGGTCGGAACTGATGTGCCAGCCCACCGTGGTGGAGGACCTCCTGGACGTCTGCGGTCGCTGTCGGACCTGGCCGGGCTCCTATGAGCTGTGGCGGGCACCGCCGCTCCCGCCCGGCTGGGACGAGGACTTATCCGACGGCACCGTCCCGGATGGGGACTACGAGGACAGTAGTTCGGAGGAGAGCCCATGCTCATCCGTGTTAAGTACCGTTTTTAGTCTGTCAGATGAATGTTCCACGGGCGATACGGACTCCTGCAGCGATTACGAGGAGGAGGACGGCGATGGCTGGAAAGGCGGTGACGATGCTGGGGAAGGCGAATATAGCCTGACGAGGCGGGACACATGCCTACTACCGGGTTAAGCCCTATAAGCAGACTCAGTCTGGATATAAAAATAAATAAAAATGAGACGTTCGGGTGCAAATTCTAGAAACCGTGCTTGCATCGTTTACGACTCGCCCGTAACGCTGGAGCGGAGGCCCGACCAGATCAGATCATGTAAGGTGTTGCAAGAAGCGGTGTGGGCTGCTGTCGACCTCCATGTTATTGTTCAGCAATGGGCGTGGGTCACACACCCACCACACGGCTGAAGCGAGAGTGCGGGCTAATGGATGAATTACTAGGTGATATTGATTATCTGCGCTCAACGCTGGAATAGGGACATCAAAAAGGACAAAAGAAAACTAGTTTATCGTCTGACATGTCTTGTTCCCCAATCACTTCTTCTCCTTCTTGATGTGTTTCCTCGCGTCTGCCTCGGACCACTGCGCGCTGTCGCCCTCATGGTCGTCCGGCTGCACAATCTCGAGAGAGTCGCTATCAGTCTCGGTCTTGAAGTCGCCGTCGGCCGAGTCGGATGTAGGGGTAGGCGGCGCCGCCTTGCTGGCGCCGGCCCTCTCCTGCAGCACCTCCTTGATGATGCGCCGACCTGAGCTCGCATCCTCGCCGTTCATGGCGCCGCAGCCCATACACCTCCACCGGCCCATATCGGCCAGGCTCTTGGCGCCGGGCGGCGCCTGCCCGTTGACGAGCCGGCACTGGCCGCAGATGAGCACGATACGGTTCTTGGCCGCTGTCTCATCCTCGCCGAGCAGGAGGTCCATGATACGGTCGTACCAGTGCGATTCCGCCATGCCTGGGTGGAACGCGGGCGCGTACTGGGCGTTGGGGATGGAGGGCAGGGGCGGGCCCCCGGGACCGAACGCGTTGGGCGCAAACTCGGCCATGTGGTCATCATGAAATGCCTGCGGGTACTGCTGGGGAGGCGAAAGCGACGGAGGCAGCGGCGTTCCGGGCCTCGATCGAGGAATGTTCGCAGTGGGCGGGGGAGCCATGCCGGTGCGGCCTGGGGTCCCGGCCCTAGCAATCGGGCCGCTTTGGGCTTTGTCCTGTCTCCCCCTGTCGCCATCTTGGTCCTCTGGGCCCTCGCCCTCATCGGAACCACCAGACTTGCCGCTTCTTGGACGTCTCGGCTCTCCGCCGTATTTCTCCAGAAGCTCGAGGGTGGAATCGTACTTGGTGGCCTCCTTGAGCTTCTGTACCGTCTTGGCACGCTCGGCCTGCTGGTCCTTGAGGCGAGAGGCGAGGGAGTCGATGCGGTAGTCGAAGTAGATGGTGAGGATGGTACGAGTGGTGTATATGCTATCGTCCGGGGGTGGGATTAGTAAGGGGCTTGCACATTTCACATTTCATGGAACACGCGGCGAACCTCCAGGCAAGAGGTAGGCAGGAACGTGTACGCACAGGACGGGCCCGCCCGCGATACCGGTCCATTCGTAGGGGCCCATATGGGTCCAACCAACGACAAGGACGAGGACGATAGCGTAAACGAGGTAGGCAAAGGAGAGGTACAGCGACCAAAGCACCTTGACTCTCCGAGAGGTCGATCGCGTGCGTTCAAGCTGGGCCTGGGTCGCCGTGATCTTGGCCGAGAGCGTGGAGAGCGCCTTCTCGAACGAGGCTGTGGAAGAGGAGTCGCCCTGAGCCGAGTCGGGGAGGAATTAGCTACTGCACGAACTGGCTGGTATCTGGAGGCGCGGGGATAAATGGCATACCCCCCATGGCCAAAAGGACACCATCACGGCGTAGACGGCTGCCCTCTGGCAGGACAGACTGGTGCGTGGGGATCCAGTCCACAAGAGGCGCCCTCTGCGGGCAGTCCTGGGTGGACTAGTATATGTGTGCGAGTGGTGGTGGTTGCGATAGTGGGCGAAAAGCGACGGCTTGGTCGCCGGGAGTCCGGCTCGTGAAGGAAAGGGAGAAGGCTACGGTTGCTTGTGGCCCCGTCAGGGATCGTGTGTGTTTTTTCTTTGACCCAGAGTGGATCGCTGGCTGCTTGGAGTCAAGAACAAAGGCCCGTTGGCGTTGACTCTGTGGCGCGCACACGAGAGATAGGGTCGCGATGTCAACAGTGAGGTCTTTGCGATTGACTGGAGCTATTTGCGAAAAAGCAGCAGTCGTTGCCAGGCTGGCGCAGTGACCTCATCCATCAGGTGCCCCAGTCACAACAGCCCCCTGCTGACTGGAGCGAGTCTAGGAGAAGGGCCTAGTAGTGACTGGCCTCTGTTCCTGCAACCCTGAGCAATCAATCATTCAATGCCTGGTCAAGTAAATGGACCTAGCAGGCATCCCAGACAACAACCCAAGACTCTCAAGGCCATTTCGAGTGGTGTTTATAAACGATATCCAGACACAGCATAAAACAAAGGCTTCAGACTGCCCGATTACCTAACAGTACTGCGAGGGCTTCCAGCTGGCGTCATGCTCCAGCCCAGACGGATGTTACCTAGCGCCCCCCACCCAGCGGGGCCTGCCCTGCAGCTGGGCAGCATTGCGCGCCATTGACGGACAGGCGCGGGCAGGCGCAACCTTTAGCTAGAGGAAGGCCAGACTTGGGTCAACAGCGAAATGCGACTCCAAAGCTGACACGGCGGGCAGAGAAAACGTTGGACCCTGCATGTCGCCCTCCTGACTCTGGTGCTGTCCGAGCGCTGCCTATGTCCGCGCCTGTCCGATAGATCTAACTTCTCCATGATTTGACCACGCCGCGACACGCGACTTCCGAATTGCTCTCCTCGGCGTATCGTTGAACGCACCCACCACCAACTACCAGTGAGCTGTGGCGCCTTCTGTCAGCGCTGGCTCTCCACCACCTTCGCATCAAGAGGTTGGCAGAACCGCTCCCCTCGCGCCTACTCGGCTGCTGCCAGGAGCGCACGGCATCTGCAACCGTAAAGGCTGACCAGGCGCCGGCGGCCAGCAGCGCCCTCGACACTCGACCAGAATGTTCGAGGTAGGTCTCCCCTGGCCCCCAGCTAGCCAAGCCAAGCCTGCCCCCCTCGCGCAAGCTCCGCTAACACCCTCCAAGCGGTTCAAGGGAATCAAAGGCGTCATCGACCGCACCATAGCCGAGGAGCAGGCCAAGGCCAAGGCCCTCTCGGACCAACGCGACGCTTCGTCGGCCTCGGCCTCGGCCGCCCGCCGGTCTGCCTCCACCTCGCGCAACGGCAAGAACGAGTCACCCGCACGGCGCGCGCGAGCCTCGAGGAAGCCCAGCCAGGACGTCTCGAGGGACTCGTCGGAAGCCCCCGCTAACACGGACCCCTCCGTCTTCGAGGCCGCCTTTGTCATCGACGACACGGACGAACCAACCGCCACCCCCGCCCGCTCCTCGGAATCCTCTGAGAGCGACCCCAGGAGGTCTTCCGCCAAGATGGAGCCCGAAGACAAGGGGACGACGACCGGGGCCGACGCAGGCGATGCGCCCGACGGCAAGAGGTCAGCAGGGAAAGACAAGGATAAGGAGAGAGACAGGCCGGCCCGACCAGATTCGGCGGCGTCGGGCCAGTCGGCCTCCCTCTCTCCCGAGATCCGCTCCAAACTGCGCAAGCTAGACAAGCTCGAGGCGACTTATCCAGGTAGCTCCCCCATCTTGCGCCCCTACCAGGCTCTCGTTTGCAGCCTGGTGGTCGTGTGACGCCCAGACCGTCACGCCAAATCTCCTGGTGTCTCGAATGCTGACACAGAGGGTATTGTGTGGCATTAACAGAGCTGCTACGCTCGTACAGGATCGCCCACGGCCGGGCCACTTCGATTGAGCCTTTTGAGCGTGCGCTGCGGGAGAATACCCCCTTGACCACGATCAAAGACCCGGAAGCCTTCCTCGAATATCTCAAACAGGTCAACATGAAGGCAGACATGATTATGGATGAGCTGAAGCGTGTGTCTGCCGAGAAGGACTCTTTCAAAAAGAAGCTGGAGGACACCGAGGTAGAGCTCGCGACGACCAAGGAAGAGCTATCCAAGCTCAAGGAGCCAAAGCAGAAGCCTGCCGAGGAGCCGTCGCCCGACGCTACTGATGCAAAGGAAGACTTGTTTTCCTTCGAGGCCGAGAACTCCCAGTTCGAGGCGCAGCTGGCGGCCAAGTCGGAAGAGATTCAGAAGCTGCAGACTGAGGTCGAATCGTTGAAGACAGAGCTTTCCGTAAACACATCTGCCAGAACCGCCGAGGCCGAGCAACTACAGGCCCAGGTTGGTACGCTCGAGTCGGAGCTGTCGGCTGCAAAGCAGGCGAAGGAGGAACTGTCCGAAAAGCTTGCCAGGGCAGCCGCTGAAGTGAGCGATGCATGCAAAGATGCCGCCGCTGCGCAGGCCGCTCTGCAGGCCGAGATAGACGCCCGCGCCAGCGAGATTGTCAGTCTGAAGGAAAAGCTTGATCAGGCGCAAGCTCAGCTAAAGGACCTTGAAGTGACGAAAGAGAAGCAGAAAACAGTCTCGACTACGGCCATCCTAGATCAGCAGTCCAAACTCTCGACAGCCAAAGACGAGATCGAAAATCTCAAGAAGCAAGTCAAGTCGCTGACGGAAGAAAAGGCGGTGCTTCTCAAGCGCGACGCCGCCAGAGCAGGTGAGATGGATGAACTGAAGGCTGCGATGACGAAGTGCAGGGACGAGCTCGTCACGCTCGCCGACGTGGAGGAATTCCTGACACCCAAGGGTGATGTGACGACCGGGGCCAAAACTGGACCAGGCGCAGGCCCCGTAGCCGTCACGCTCTCGAAAGTATCAAAGGTTATCGCGCCCATACTGACGCCCGAGATCAAAGCTAAACCAAGCCCAGCTGCCACCCCGGCGGCAAAGCCCCAGCCGACACCTACCCCTGCCTCCAAGAAGAACAACAAGAGGAAGGGCAAGGGCAAAGGCCCCGCGGCCGCTCCCGAACCCCCTGCCGTGGGCTCGGAGCAGGATGGGCCCACCGAAGCCGCCCCGTCGGCGCCAACCGAGCCTGTTGCGGACGCCCCCGCAGTCGATGTGTCTGCTCTGCAGGAAGAGATAGCGCGCCTCAGAGAGGATGTAGAGAAAAAGGACGCGTCCATCGAGCGGCTGTCGAAGCAGCGCAGTACGGAGGAGGACCTGCGCGAGGAGGTCGAGAATATGAAGGACGATCTGATCCACATTGGGCAGGACAATGTGGTGGCCAAGGATCGCCTCAAGACTTTGGAAGCTGAAAAAGCCGAGCTGAAGGTCTGCATCTCGACGCTGGAGCAGGAACTGGCCAAGATCCCCGAAAAGGCGCTGGCGGCCCAGGAAGAGCTGGTGGACAAGGTAAGGTGGCTCAGGGAGCACTTCAGCGACTTGCAGCAGAAGCAGAGTGAGGCCACCCAGGTCATTGAGCAGACAAGCACCCTCAAGTCGGAGTTGGGTGCGTCCCAGCAGCTCGCACAGAGCCGCTTCAAGGAGCTCGCGGACCTCAAGGAGATGCTCCAGAAGGCACAGCCAGAGCTCAAGAGCCTGCGTGCCGAGGCAGCGACGCTCAAGGGCACCAAGGAGCAGCTGGCAGCCAAGGTGGCCGAGGTGGTGGTGCTGGAGGGCAGGGAGAAAAACGTCAAGGCGGAGCTGGCCAGGGCGAGGCAGGACGTGGCGGATCGGGACTCGGAGATCAAGACGCTACGCGACAAGCTGGCGACGGAGAACAAGCAGCGAGCGCGGACCGAAGACGAGAGGCGCGTGGCGGGCCGCGACCTGCGGCGGTCCGAGGCGGAAAAGATCGAGCTCAGCGCCAAGGAGGAGAAGGCAAGGCGCGAGCTGGAGAAGCTGCAAGAGGATATATCTAAGGTGCAGCCCCGGATCAAGGCGCTAGACGGCGAAGTCAGCAGGCTGAAGAAGGAACGGGACGAAGCACGCGAGGAGCTGCAGCTCAAGACGTCGCAGTACGCCAATGCGCAGAACCTTCTGGGCAGCATGCGCGACCAGACGGCCGAGCTGGGCACACAGCTCAAGGAGGCACAGGCGCAGGGCGAGTCGCTGGACGAGGAGCTGGCTGAGTGCCGAAGGCTGCTGGAGGAGCGGACGCGCGAGGCGGAGAAAATGCGACGGCTGCTCAACGAGGCAGATGAGCGGGCTGACACTCAGGTGCGCGAAATGCGCACGCGGCTGGACGCGGCCGTGGAGGAGCGCGACCGGCTCGAGGACGAGTCGTCGACGCTGGCACGCAAGAAGGCGCGCGAAACAGAGGAGCTGCGCGGGCGCATCCGCGACCTGGAGCGCGAGTCCAAGGCGGTGGCCAACGAGCGTGACGACCTGGAGCAGCGCGAAAAGGAGTGGCGGCGACGGCGCGAGGAGCTCGAGGCGCTCGAGGAGACGGCGCGGGCCGAGGTGATGGAGATGCGGTCGACGGTGGCGACGTTGCAGGCGTCACTGACGGCGTCGGAGCAGCAGGTGCGCGAGGCTGAGCGCCGGCGCGCCGATCAACAGCGCATGATGGACGACTGCAAGACACGTGCCGCCAAGGCCGAGCGCGATCTCAAGTCGGTGCAGTCGAGGCTGGGCATGCCGGCCGCTGGGCCTGGCCCCACCTCGATGGACTCGGGCCGGTCCAGCCCGCAGGCCAACGGCGCCGCTGCTGGTGCCCCCGATGCGCTGTATCTCAAGACCATCCTGCTGCAGTTCCTCGAGCAGAAGGACAACAGGCTCAGGGCACAGCTGGTGCCCGTGCTGGGGAAGCTTCTCCAGTTTAACAAGTACGTTGTTCCCCCCTCGGCCTATTCCCTGTTTAGCGCTAACATGCTTGCCCCCACCGCCAGAGCCGACGAGCAAAAGTGGCTTTCCGTTGTCCAGAACATGACCATCAAATAGAGGTAGAGCAGCAACGGCGGCCGCATGTGGGTTCGACGACAAGAAGCAGCGTCCCTAGCCTTGCCGCAATGCATGTCTGGGTGTGTACGACAATGTATGAGCGAAGAGAGAGCATAGCCATAAATAAAATGTGTTTACAGCTTGTTTCTCTGCATGCAAACTCGACCCGGTGCAGACAAGTCCTGGGCCGGACGCTCTATGCGAGGAGCCTGGCTATGATTTCACCACACAGACCTTGCTCATGCATGGTCCGGATGCCTCTCGCTGCTTCAAGTGCGATCGGCTCGGACATCTCCATCGGAGCGGAGAACACTACTTGTGTTGGTGAGGTTGGGGGTGGGCACATGTTGAGGCGCCGCATACATCAGTGCCGACTGACCGAGTGTGCCCCCTTTCCACGGCCTGCGCTTACCCTGCCACTGCCTAGGTATCTGCATGCACCCCGTTTGCTGCAGTTGACCTTCCTTTCCCGCCGTTATAACCCTCCTCCTCCTCGGGCGCGCTCGAGCTGTTCGAGGTGCCCGACATGCACGCCCCGGGTGCGTGGGCGGGCGTGTTTTCCGACGGCGCCGTCGCGGCCGTCGCGTCGGTCGCGAGCGGCACCTCGATGAGCCTCGACGTGCCCGACGTGGCGGCCGCCGTCGCCCTCGAGGCGTCTGCCTACGTCGGCCTGCTCGACGCCGCCCGCGCCGCCGGCTCCGTGCGCAGCGTCGTCTTTACCAGCTCCGCGTGGGCCGCCTACACGCCCGACGGCACCAAGGCGGGCGTGCTGACGGCCGACTCGTGGAACGACGCGGCCGTATCCCTCGCCGCCGCCGCCGCCGCCGCCGCCGAGGAGGAGGAGGAGGAGCAGTCGAGCCGGCCGCGCGGACTGTGCGGCGTCATGGCCATGAAGGTCGGGTACGAGCGCAAGGTGTGGGAGTGGGTGCGTTCCGCAAGGCCGGGCTACAGCTTCAACGTCGTGCTGCCCGACACCGCCTTCGACCCCGTCATGGACCCGGCGCGGCAGGGCGCCAGCACCGTCGGGCTCGTGCGGTGGCTGTGGGAAGGGCCGCGGGCTCGACGCGCACGTCCACATGGCGCCGCAGTGGTGGTTCGTCGACGCCCGCGACGTGGGCAGGCTGTACGTCGCGTGCCTGGCCCTGCCGGGCCTCGACGGCCGCCGCGTCTACGGCTTCGCCAAGCGCTACAGCTGGCCGCGCGTGCTCGACATCATCAAGGAAGGCGCTCTACCCGCAACGCACAGAGTGGCCCGCCCTGCCCGAAGCCGGCTGGGACGCCTTTGACGTGCCGACCGACGACGCCGAGGAGCTGATCAAGCAGGTCGGCGACGGCAGTGGGTGGATCTCGCTCGAGGACAGCATCAGAGACACCGTCGAGAGCTTCCTAGCCAAGGATGCCGATGGGAGGAGCACGTTGGAGGCCATCAAGCCAATCAAGGAGGCTTTTGAATAAAATGGAGTCACAAGACCAAGTCGAATGGGACGGGCGGTACAAATATTTGGAATGGGTCATGGCGGAAAGAAATTTTTGACGGAAAACAAATGATACGTTCGGTTGCTGTACACGTCAGGATCCCCCATCCCACATTCAGAGAACAAAACTGGCATGGAAATCATGCAAAAATTTATTTAATGTACAATAGTGGTCGTGTAAACAACGACACTGTCCACATGTTCTTAGGTGGACATCTTTGCGAGCACATGGTCAAGGGCCGCATTCCTGACAAGACACTTGCCCTTCATTTCGCGGCAGTCGTCACAGCGCAGGCTTGCGGGACTCCCCATGTCATCGTCGTACTTGGTGCAGCCGCAGCCATTCCTATAGCAGCGGCACACATGATGCAGGTCTTCGTCGGCGCCCTTGATCCACAGCGCCCCGAAGCTTCCGTCACCGGTGCCGGGCGAAGGCGCGTCATCGCCCGTAGCTCCCGCGTCCTCTCTCGTAGCTGCTGCATCCTCGCCTGCCATTGGGCTTTTCGGAGCATAGTCGCCGCCATCCTTGCCAGTGACTTCTGGGTCTCCGACAGGTCTGACGAGCTGCAAACCTGCCGACAGGGCCAGGCACTCGGGTTTGACGCAGGGAATCAGCATCTTTTGCGGAGCGACGTCAGTCACCTTCTCACAGGGCTGTTGCTCCCACAACCGCGGATCACCTTGGACGCACGCACCAAAATGCGACACGCTCTTACAATAAGAGTATGTCTTGATCGGGTGCCGTCCACAGGTGTAGTTGCCAACGGCGCGCCAGCACATGAAGGAAATGTCGACGAGGAGGTGGTGCTTTTGTTTGCTGTTGTTGTTGTTGCTGTTGTTGTTGTTGTAGTTGGTGTGGTTGTTGTCGGGGATTGGGAGATTGCGTAGTCCTGGGAATTGCCATTTTTATAAGTGTAAAGTGGCAAATAGACAAAAAAGATTTAAAAAAGATAGAAACAATGGGTTTTGTATCCAAAAAATTATTTAGACAAAGAGGCAGAATGGAAGCTAATGGACAAGAGCCTTTTTCCAAGCAAACAAGACAGGGAAGTGGCTTGTTGGCCTCCTCCCTCTTTGTGCGGCTGCCCCCAAGACAGGCCGCATTAAGGAATTCAGAGGGGGGCAGGGGGGGTTCGGGGTCATATGCCGAGCACTAGGTCCGACATGCGCCGACGTGCGCCCTTGAGATCGGCGGCCTCGGTGATATCGTCTTCAACCCTGGGGCTTGCGTACTTGCGGGGCTTGGGGCTTTTTGGAGAGCTGGGGCCCGACGAGTCGGAGAGTTCCTGGACTCGAGAAACCGCAGGTGGGTCACCGGCGGCCATGGCCGAGGTCAAGGCGCTGAAGTCGATCAGATTCGTTGTGCGCCTGTCAATGTCGTCCAGCTGAGACATGCTCAAGCTCCAAACCGGGGCGCTGCTGCTGAGGCAGCCAGAGCCGGCGGGAGGGCTCTGGTAGACGTGGTTGTTCCCGTAGAAGTTGAGGTGGATGTTGTTGACGGGGGGCGGGCTGCTGGCCTCGAAGCGGGAGGGCTGCTTGGGCGAGGCATTGGGAGGGGTCGAAAACAGATTGACGTTGGCGACGGGGGTGTTGAGCCTCTTGTATCCCTCGGGGTGGACGGGCAGGACCGACTGGGGTAGCTCGGCGGCCGTCTCGCGGTCGAGGGGAGACATGAGGGCGTTATCGGGGTCGCGGCACTTGCAGCACTGGTACTTCTTCATGGTGACGTTGAGGCCGCAGCAGTGCCTCTCACCCTCCTCTAGACGGCGACCGGGGCGGTAGGCAACCCACTTCCAGGCGTTGTTCCTCCACAGCAGGGTGCGCATGTTGTGGCCGCACCAGCCGCACTTGTTGCGGCTCATGTCGCCGCTGTAGGCAAAAGTGCACTGGCCGAACGACTTGATGGACAGCAGCAGGGCGTTGCAAAGGTCACCGCGGCGGGTCCACTGCAGCGTCAGGGCCGAGGCGACGACCGAGTCGGCAGGGCATATCTTGCTGACCTTGCCGTTAGGGGTGACGACGAGGTAGATCTGGTGGCGAAAGTGCTCCTGGTCGTAGGGGTTGATACCGGCGTGGTACAAGCGGATGCCCAGGTCATCGTCGACGAGGATGTCGTAGGGGTAGTCCTCGAGGTGTTCGTAGCGGCCAGCGTCCTCGTCGCGGCGGATGCGCGAGATGAACTCACGGTAGTAGCGCGAGCCGGCGTACGACTTTTCGGGCAGCCGGGGATGTATGAACTCCATGCCCATGGTGGTGGCGGTGGTGGTTGTTTTGGGGGGGTGGTTGGTTGGTTGGTTGGCGTTCTTCCGTCGTCGTCGTTGTCGTATTGAGGCAAAGTACAGTCGGTCAGGTGGGTAGCGATGAGAGCGAGGAGGTGGTGGTTGTGGTGGTGACGGCGAAGGAAAAAGGAAAAAGATAAACGTTGAAATGCGCGTGGCCGGCCATGTAGGCAATGGATGACGATGCAGGCACACGCGATGACCGGAGCGGCAGGTCAGGAACTGGTTGGCGGAACCGAACGAAGGGCTTGGCTTGGTACTCGCTATCTGAATGTGAGGCTGTTTCAGTGCGCTTCTCGCCCGTGTCTGCTGGGGGAGTGTGGGAGTGCAACCCCAAAGAGCTGCAATTTGCTGCAGTTTGCCATTGACGGGAGTTTGCTGCCCAACCCACACGCTGCTGCGAGCTGCGCTGTGCCCTCCTGGCTGGTGCTGTCAAGCGTCAAACCCGCCCCTTCCCCTACGGGTTGGCCGCCCCTTCCTGGCCCGTCAGCGCCTGACCATGTCGGCTGCTCCTCCCCGGGTTGGCCACGATCTCTGCCCGCCTGCTCCTGCCGCTGTCAGGTCGTTTCCGCGCTGGAGCTCCCAAGAGCGCGCCCCATCGTCGCTCGACGTGGCACCATCCCGTCATGTGGTGTGCACACCATCTCCCCAATCGTCCCAATTGTCGCTCTCGACCGCCATGCAAGCCAGGCCGACGTCGCACGTGTCCCTCCACGCCCGAGCGTCTCCCGTCTTGCCCCGTGTTTGGTCGCGAGAAAGAGGGGAAGACCGGTTAGGTCGCTGTAGGGTTAGGTAGCTTGCGTCTGTCGCCTCGATTAGCTGCATCATCACGTGGCCGCCCAGTCGACTCGCCCTCTCCTGAGCCCCTGAGTGGTCTCCTCGAGCCTTCTTGTCTGCTGACCCTTTGCAACTCTCTTCCTTCTCTCTCAGCCTCGGATGAGCCCGTGTTGCAGCTTGCATACGCCACCGGCACGAAATGAGCTTGCTTCTCACCGGTCATGATCCAGCACCAGCTGGTCGTCACTCGATGACGATAGACTCGCCAAGACCCCCCCAATCTTGGAGTCTTCGATAGTCTGTCACTTCTCAGTCTTTCACAGCGCTTCCAGCCTTGTGCCTGTCCGATCGGTCTGCCTCTGCTGCTAGCTGCAAGGCTGCCTATCTCCTGGCAGGGCCACAGTAGATCCACCAGGTGAGACGATGGGAGTCTTACAAATCCGGGAATCTTAATGCGAGCCTGACAAATGCGAAAATGAGAGCGAGCAACCTCTTGATTCTTTGTCGTTCCAGGCAAGCCTGGATGGGCGTGATTGCCGTGTACAAGAACCCAGCCGTGCCCTTGTGATGTAGACATGTCGGCCACATTCCCTGCAGTCAACAGCCTCCCTGCAGTCAACAGCCTTTCACTCATCAGTACGCCTGCCCAAGATGTCCACGACCATCGCGCCCTTCCCCAAAGACTCGAGCAACGGCTTCAGCATCGTGGTCACCGCCGAGGCCAAGCCTGGCAAGGCCGACGCCTTGCTGGAAATATTCCAGCGCGTTCGTTCCGTGGTCTCGGCCGAGCCGGAGTGCGTCCTCTTTGAGCTGTTCCGAACCGACGAGAACCCAAACAAACTTGTGTGGTTCGAGACCTGGACCTCTACTGTCGAATGGTTCATGCAGGTAAGAGATGGCCGGGCTCCATCGTCTCGTGGGACGGACGGCAAATGACTGACCGCGGCCCTTTTGTATAACTGTAGGACCAGATAACAAAGCCGTACATGAAGGCGTACGAAAAGGAACTTGAGCTTGGTGACATCCTCGTTGGGGGGAGAGATATTAAGTTCCTCGAGCGAGTACCTGCCACGCAGTCTTGAGAGCGTTGGGACTGGAGCCAATTGTGCTGAAGTGGCCATGTATAGTATGAAATGGGATGGAGAGCTGCCCTGGGTTTAAACGTGGATTAATCTGATTGCACTGCTCGCCCGAGTGCGACAGTCGCATTGCTTATAAAGCACAGCCACCGCCAATAAACGACTTCGGTCATGTCGGGACTTCCCCTTCGGTGTGCCCGGCGCGTTAGAGTGAGGTACCATTCGGGCCGTCTGCCTATTGGAGCGACCCTGGTTCGGTAGTCTGCAGCAATTGAGGGGAAGCGCCGTCCTAGCTTCGGCTCGGACTTAATGGCGGAGAGGCGCAATGATACATGTGGAGACTAATAGACGACGAACGGTGAGCAGGAAAGGCTCAAAAGGCATCATACACAAAAATGCTGCTGCCCTCGCTGCTGCTCTTCTCGTCGAGCCTCCTTGGTCAGGCGTCAGGCTCGGCTTCGGGCCGTGTCGTGCGCCGCCATCTGTCGTCGCTGAGAGATTCGTACGACTATGTCATCGTCGGCGGCGGCACCAGTGGGCTCGTGCTGGCCAATCGGCTGACCGAGGACCCGGCCAAGACGGTGCTCGTGATCGAGTACGGCGACTTTGAGCGCGGGCCCGAGGTGACGGTGCCGTTCTTGACCACGGGCTCGCAGGCGGCGCGCCTTTACAATGTCACGTCGGCGCCCCAGCCAGGCTTGGGCGGCCGCTCATTCCCGCTACGAATCGGTGTGGCCGTGGGCGGCAGTTCCACCGTCAACGGCATGGCTTGGGACAGGGGATCTGCGCCCGACTACGACGCATGGGAGGCACTCGGGAACGTCGGCTGGGGGTGGGACGGCCTGCTGCCCTTCTTTCGAAAGTCGTCGCGATTCACGCCGCCCGCCAAAGAGTATGTCGACCAATACGGCTACGAGTGGCAGTCCGAGGCGTACGGAGATGGCGACGGCGTCCATGTGACGTTCCCGCCCTGGCAATGGCCGGCTGTCACGGCTCTCGCCGACGCGTGGAAAAACGACCTCGAGGTACCGGCGCTCAAGGACGGTGCAGACGGCAACAACGTGGGTCTCGCCTGGCTTCCCCAGAATAACGATGCCCAGAACTCCACCCGTTCCACGTCGACGACGGCGTACTACGACCCGGTTAGCGGCCGTCCGAATCTGGAGCTGTTGGTACGGCATTACGGCGGCCGCGTCGTGTTCGACAAGACCAACAAGGTCGCCGGAGTCGAGGTCGTCAGCCGCCAGGACAAGACGAAGCGCTTGGTAGGGGCCGGGGAGGTTATCCTGGCGGCGGGGGCGGTCAACACGCCGCGTATCCTGCAGCTCAGTGGCCTCGGCCCGGCGGCGCTGCTCAACAGGCTCGGCATCGAGGTGGTGGTCGACCTGCCTGGTGTCGGGGCCAATTTCCAGGACCACCCAGCCATTTACATGGCCTACGACTTCCTCCGCGACCCGCACCCGAGCCCGCAAGACATGCAGGACAACCAGACATTTATCGACGAGGCCTGGAGGGCGTACAACACCAGCAGGACCGGCCCACTCACCCATGCTTGGGGCAATCGCGTCGTGTTCCAGAACCTCAAGGACCTGCTGCCCGAAACACACGAGGCTGTCGCGGCGGGGGTCGAGGAGCAGGACGCGCTCGCACACCTGCCGGCGCTGTACGCATCCAGCCCGGCCCTCCTGGCCGGCTTCTTGGCCCAGCGTGCTGCAATGAGCAAAGGTTTCGCAGACCAGCGATATGGCGTGCTCGAGGTTGCCTTTGGCGGGTCTGAGACGGTGGTGCTAGCGTTACAGAAGCCGCTGTCGAGGGGCACAGTCACCATAAACTCGACAGACCCCGACCCGTCTGTGCCACCCGTCGTCGACTTTGGCAGTCTCTCGAACCCGGTAGATGCCGCCATCCTGGTGGCAGCTGTGGCGCGGGCGCGCCAGTTCATGGCTGCACCTTCGGTTGTCAACGCACTGAACGCTACAGAGCTGTTTCCGGGCGCGGCGGTCGAGGGCGACGCCCAGGTAGAGGCGGCCATCCGGGCGAACCTAGGGAACCCCAGCCTTGACCACCCTGTGGGGACGGCCGCCATGATGGCTCGCGAGCTGGGCGGCGTGGTTGACCCGACGAGCATGAGCGTGTACGGGGTCAAGGGGCTGCGTGTGGTGGATGGGAGCGTGATGCCGCTGCTCCCGGCGGCTCACACGCAGGCAACAGTCTACGCCGTGGCCGAAAAGGCGGCCCAGCTGATCTGTGGCGAAGCCGCCCGTGTCACGTCATGATCTAGCTTGAAAGGGAGGAGGCATTCAGAGGATAGGAGCCACCAGGGCAAGAAAACCTTGTGATTTAATGATGGCCCCGGCGGCCCGAACGGGACGGGTATCTTTCGCGACCCCACCACAATGAATAAGTCGAGTAGTCCCTGACGGGGCTGATGCCTAGCTGATCAGCCACATTGACGTAGCCGTTCCGGTTTAGCGGGCCGTCTTTCTTCAGGTTCTTGACCACGCTGTCGTCGGCCTCACCCTCCCACACGCTGCGGCACAGGGGACAGGTGACTGGGGAAGAACCGCCATCGTGCTGGCGCTTGGTCGCTGACCAAATCTGGAAGCACTGCCTATGCATGTTTTGACCACAAGCGGCGCGGCACCACACAAGCTGCTCGCTGTTTACTGTATTTTTGGCAGCATCGGTCGCAGCCGCCAGCTCTTCGAAACAGATGGGGCAGTCCCCTTCAACAGGCTTGCGGTTGTGGTCACGTTGCTCGTCGGACGTGCTCCCCTGAGCACTGGGCCAGCGAGGAGCCTTGTCAAGGATTTCTCGCAGTTCGCTGGAGAGGAGCGCCAGCTGGTAAACGAGGTTGAATTTGGCCCGGAGCACGCGGGACATGACCTGCGCGTGTTGTCAGGGGCCAGGGGCTACAACGAACAGAGTCGAATGGGCACTTACATAGAGAAGATGCTTGCACTGGTTGCCGGCAAAGGCATGAGGACAGTTGCATTCAGGGCGGCGGCCGATGTGGACTTTGTAGACATTACCCGTGGACCCGGCCAGCTCGAACTTCTCCTCAGGGCAGTCCTCAGTGCCGCAGCGAATGCGGTCGAGCACAAAAAAGCGCTGCGACGTAGCCCTCTGATATATTGGGTAAAAGGACTGAGGCGGCTTGTTGCGGAACCTCCTAACTCTCTTTTCGGCGTTTTTCTCGGCGGCCCTCCGCTTCTCCTCTTCTACCCTAGACCTCTCGATGGCTGCATGCAAGGCGGCAGACACCGATCGCGCTTGTTGGTGCTTGCGCACGCCGCTTGCGACCTTGGGGGTTGGCTTGGAGCCGGCGGCCTTTGAAGCGACACCCTTGGAGGGCATTCCATCCCCCCACGAGGGGAGTGGCTGGTTGGGCCGGACACCCATTCTGGGCTGAGGGTTGATGCTGGCCATTTTCTTGTGCGTGAGAGAGGACAGCCCTCGATGGTTTTTGGGAGTCGAGAGATTCCTTAGAACCCATTCCATTGGATTGGCAGCCGTCGGCCGAGTTTGAGGTGGCGATGCTAGTTTCGATTGCCACCTTCACTTAAGGCTACTTCGGAAGTTGGGGCTTGAAGCCTGCCGTTTCAGGGTGACGCGCAGCCGCTTTATTGGATGGAGGACGCTGTTGGGTACCCATAGTCCCCGCCACCCAACCCGTGTCTTTCTGCTTCGCTCATCTGGTCGTGGCCCACTCTATTTTCCCGGGGGTGCGGGAAGCAATCACGATCACGACAAAAAAAATGATACACCAAAAGGGCGGAAAGGTGGGGACTTTTATTTTATTTTTATTTTTTATACCGAATCGGGTCAACACCTCCGGCAAGCAATAAACAATCGATTGTGTAAGCTTTAGGAAAATTATAAAAACTTAAAGAAAGATGCCATTTAAAACGATTGCTTATACATTTGGCAATTTAATATTTTGTAAATTTTTAAATTCGCTTTTCGTTAGGAAACCGCTTTGTGAATGAAGTGCTTCCTTTTGGTGTGACATTCTCCCGGGCGTAACCATGGCAGTATCGCGGCGGGCCAGGCTCCAGTGCAAAGCCAAGCAACATTTCAACTTGATCCCTCTCGACTGATTGACAGGTAAATGCAGTCCCCAACAAGACAAAGTCTTGATGGCAGCAAGCCGTCCAATACACCCCATTAATCATGAATCCCAGCGTCGAAACACACCGCTCTTTTTGGGCCGGCGCCAGCGTCATCCGGAAGCAAAGACGCTGAAAAGCAAAGACGCTGAAAAGCAAGATAAAGAGAGCCGAGATACAAGCCCATCTCATTAGCCCTGACTGACGCTCCGCCCTTGCATCTGCCACCCACAGCATGTGTGCCGAATCACAGGTCCGGCGCACAGACGAGCCTGCGTTAGTGCCAGCAGCCAAAAAGGTCCCCTGCTCAGCTCACAAACAGCCCTTGCCTGGGTAGCTGAAGCTGACATGGGATGGCAGCATTCCAACCTCACCAACTATTGGCAAACGCGACGCGACCATTTTCAAAGAAGCAAAGGATAACAAGAAAAAAAGTAGCAAAAAGGAAACTGGTGCGCGTCAAGGTGGCGAGATATGGACCAAGTGGCAAGTGAACCAACCGGTGACCTCCTCTTCCTGCTAGCAGAGACGCCCTGGCGTCATGGCCTTCAGCTCTCCTCTAGACTAGCGCCACTCTCTCCCTCTTGTTCTCCCAGATGGGCGGGCGGGGAAGCAGCCCGCAGGCACGCTACATAGACGCTTTAATCACTCGCTCCTTGGCACCACCACATGATGAGCGCTCCAGAACGAAAATAGCAAGAGAATATGCATGCCACTCGTGTGTGCATCTCTCTTATAGGCCACCCATCCCTTTCATTCAAGCCAGCCCTGTCCAGTGCGTCGACCCATCCTCCACCTCCGACCTTTGCCCCATTATCCTGCGCCTTGTCCCATCCATCTACTCCCTCGGGGTCTCGACCATGGATCCGCCATTCATGGTTGTCCAAGACGAAGACGGCTGGAACCCCCAGCCTCAGCACCCTAGCGTGGTGATACAGCAGCCAGGCACTCGTTTGCCCTTGCCGGGTCACCAGCAGAGCCTCACTGTTCCCATGGGCGCCGCGGATGTCGCCTGGGATCACAGATTCCACTGTCCCGCTCCTGTCGGCAGCAACCCTGCCGGGCTTCCCTACGGGCTGCAGAACCAAGCTCCCGGCACCATGGATACTCAATTCGTGCTACAACCCGGCATCCAGGGTCCACATGGGGCTCCCTATCATCAACAAGCCTCTGATTTCCATCTTCATCATCAGCCCTTGCCACCACAGGCGTTCCCCAGTTCTCAGGGGGCATTTCTTGCTTCTCAAACTGTGTTACACGAGCAGCAAGGGGTCTTCCCGGGTGCTCAAAATACACTTGTTCACCCGCAACAAACCTTTCTCGACATCAACCAGGCCGTTCTAGATGCGGGTCCCGTATTCTCCCGGGATCCTCTTCTGCAGTTCCAACACAACAACCCCTTCGATCCCAACCTGGTAGACGCCCAGGACGTCTTTGGACCTCTAACCGTGCTGCTGCGTCACCACCAGTATCCTCACACCGTCAGCCGCAACGGTCTTCCACATGCCGCCTACGACTCCTCGCTACCTGAGCCTGCGGGTGGCCCGGCTTTGCCCACCATCCAGCCCTTTTCTGTGCCCGTTTCTCGTGCAGGCGGGCCATTGAGCCAACCCTTGGTCGTCGGGCAGCGCTTCTCTGCGCCCGTTTCTCCCGTTGGTTTCGGCCAGCGCCTCTCTCCGCCTGTAGCCCCTTCAACTGGCCCGTCATCATCGCTCATAAACCCGCCCGCTGCACCGATCCCGCCGCGTGCCATGTCGATATCACCAGCCTCATCGCCAGCCTCCTCACTCCCTGGTAAAGCCCACATCGGAACCGTCCCGGAAGTGCAATCGTGGCCCAGCCCCGACTCGCGGCCCCGGAATTTTGGCGATGGCTTCCCGCTGTTTGGCTCACTGCCGGTCAAGATCCGTGACGCAATATGGCGGTTCGCCGTTGAGCCGCGCACCGTCGTCATCGACGTGGCCGCGACGCGCATCACGGGCGCGCCGCGCCCCTTCCGCGCTGCCACGGCGGCCACGTGGTGCGCGAAAGAGCCGACGACGCAGGGGGTGTTTCTAGCCTGCCGCGAGTCGTACCGGGCCGCGGCCGCGCTCTATGTGCGCATGCCTTTTCCGACCCCTGCGTTCGCGGCCGACAGCGGTGGCGGCGGCCTTGAGCCCGTCGACGTGTCCATCGCCACGACGCTGGATACGGTCGAGTTCTCGGCCGGCTGGCTCGTCGACGACGACGGCTTTCCCGTCGCCGCCGCGGCACGCGGCGCCTCGCGGCAGGAGTACGACGGGCCCGACACGCTCCGGCTACTGCTGCCGCTTATCGGGCTGACCGTCATCGATCAGGAGCGCCAGCTCTGGACGCCTGGGTGGGACGGCTGGTCGCACCGGCTGCGGCACATATCATTCAACGCGGTCCTGGTCGGCCACGTGGCGCAGGGCAGGCGGGCCGGCCGCGGGCCCAACATGGGCGAGATCTGGGACGGGCTGGTGCGGCACATGGAAACTAGCCCAAGCTTCCGCACCTGCACCATCGGCATTGCCGTGCCAAAGACGACGACCAGTGACGCCCTGACCAGGACAAGCAGCCAGTGCGACAACATCCGCCGTATCCGCATCGCCCGCCGTCCGCTCCACTACGCCGGCGCCACCGAAGACTCGGATTCGGAATCTGATTCCGACCCGGACGACGCAGCACGCCCGCCCTGTAGTTGCAGTAACTGGTCCTCCTCTCGGCCGAGCAGGGCGGGAGGAGCACCATGGTCAGGCCGGCCGCCCCGCCTCCGCATCAAGCGCCCCGGCCGCATCCAGTCGGAGCGCGCCGAGGCCATGCGTCTCGACGGCAGCGACGCGTGCCTGCTACTCGACGACCGCCGCCTGAAGCTCGAGTGCCGCAACCACGCCCCCCGGCAGCAGGTGCACACGTGCCCGCACCATGGCAGCGGCCGCAGCAGCCGCCTGGTCCCCAGCTACCGCCACCGCCTCGCCATCCTGGAGCTGCTCGACGCCGAACAGGTCGCCATGTTTTGCCCGACCCGGTTCCCCTACGAGAGCCCCCTCGGCTTCGAGCCGCGGCGGCGCGCGGCCACCACCCAACTCGGCACGCGCATGCGCCACCACTACTGTGCCGCCTCGTGCCACGTCCCACAGCAGTTCGTCCACCGCCAAACCCAAACCCACACACACACATGGGACCAGCCTGCCGGCCCGACCTTCAGTGCCGCCCCAGCCGCCGCCACCCCTACCCAGGCCGCCGCCCAGCCATCATCCACCGAGCGGCGGCACTTTGTGTTTGGCGACTCGTTCGAGGGCGACATGCACCTCCTGCTGCACAACTGGGTCGCCAGGTACCGCGACGTGGAGTCCACCAGGCTCAACGTTGGCGTGCACGGGCTATGTCGCGAGGATTATGGGTGGTGAAAGGGTGCCGCGTGACTATATTTGTCTTCCTACTTCATTCATTCCTCTTTAGCCTGCATCAGCTCGAGCTTGAGCAATGTATATATACACACGTGTCTGGATTCTTGGGACAATCAAGTACACTGGCTTTTGTGACGAATGCCCTCATGCTTACTTACTACCAACACCTCGAAATGCTCCTCTTCTGCACCTAAACGCCGCCTAGATATATCCATGTTTGATTATTCACTCCCTTTACGTCTATTTCCTTCTCGTTCCCCCACCTTCCCTCGCATTCTGGGGGGTATCAACGCAAAGTGATGCAGCCATATAGAAAAAGAAAAAAGGACCAGAGGGGAGAGATATCGACCCAAAACAGACGAGGGCACAATATGCAGGCGGGTGTCGACCACAACTCACCCCCGACAAAGGAAAAAGACCCAAGAGCAGTGCCGTGAACCAAAACCCCAAGCTTTTGTTGACGCCGCATCCGGGAGAAGGATTTCCCATTATTACAAAAAAAAAAAAAAAAAAAAAAAGAAAGGAAAATGGCAGATTATGCTCGTACATAGCATCGTCACAATAACTCAAATCCAGCCTCCAGCAGCGCCTTGCCTGTAGGCAACATCGGCTTCCCCTGCATTGGGAAAGGCCAGAAGAGGGGGTTCGCCATGCGGCCCGTCGACGTGGCGGCAACGACGTGGTTCATATCGGACCCTGCGACCGGCATGGTGCCCGTCATGCCCGGTGCTGAGGGGGCAGCCGGGACGGCGTCGCTGGACGAGCTTGCTTGGCCGGCCGGCTGGTCTCCTCCCCATGAGCAGACAAAGTCGTGGTCCGACACGTTGGGTGCGAAGAAATTGAGGCTTGACGTGACGGGGCGGACGCTATGCTCGGCATCCAGATCGTCTTGTTGCTTTTGTAGTTGTTCCTCCAGCGCCTCTTGTTGTTGCCGCAGGAGCTGCGCTGGATCACGAGGTTCTTGTGGATCCTGAGCTTGTTGTTGTTCTTCTTGCTGCTGCTGTTGTTCTCGTCCTTGCTCCTGTCCTTGAGGCTGTCCTTGCGCCCGCTGTTGCTCTTCTCGCTGCCGTTGCAGCTGCTTTTCGTCATTGCTCGCCCGCTCGCCCTGTCTCATGCGGTTGGTATGGAATCCTATGTTGACCTCGATCTTCCATTTCTTGGCTAGGTGTCTCAGAATGTTGAGAGCCTGCTCCGCAAAATGATGGCAGGGTGCCATCTCGGTGAGATCGGCTATTCCCTGGTTGATGGATCGCACAACCTGCGGGTCTGACCTGGCGGCCGAGACGGCGGCTTCCGTCGTGATGTTCTCCGGTGGCTGAGCCAAGTCTCCCGCAGAGTCCTGTCCGGTGACAGCCGCCGCGCCAGCACCGCCGGTTCCAGCCGCGGGCGCCGATGACTCCTGGGCTCTCGTTGCCGCGATGGCAAGATGCATGATGGACGATGTGAGCACAAAGTAAGGGACGAAAGAGGGAGTGCGCCGCAGGGTGTAGAGCTGTGAATACGATCGGAGGAGGCTGCTAATCGCCTCGGCCGCTTGCAGGCAAACGTCGCGGGGGCTGACACTGGACCCGATTATGCGCAGTTTGATGAGTGGCCTAAACAGGAGTAGTATGGCAAAGTGGTAATACATGCTGCGGGTAGCAAATATGGTCAGCAATAGAAAATGCCCGCCACAGCCAGCGGCTGCTGGTGGACGGACGCTAGGACAGGCAAATACTCACTGTGCAAAGAGGACCGAGGGAGTAAAGTTTGCCCCCAGCCTGAGCACCTCCGGGATGTTGGCGTACCAGTGGAGGTAGCTGGTATATAAAGCGAGGAGCTCGCGGGCTGCCAATGGCTTCCCGGGCGAATGTAGGGCGTACAGCGATTGGTGCACCAGCTCGCTGAGCTCGCAAAAGCACTTGTAGACGGAGCGCACATTGGACGGCTGCTCGCACGACGACTGCTGCAATGGCGTGCCTGCGGAGAGATTATTGTGAGTCGGGTACACACGGTCAAGTCAGCATCGCGCCGGGGGGCTCATCTGCCTACTTACCATCGTCTGTATAGGGAATCCACAGCGAGGCCTCGATATCATCGATGATGTTGGGCTTGGGAGGTAGTTTGATAAACGACGAGCTCTGGGGGAGCGAGCCTGTCGCCAACGACCACGCACTGGGGGGCGGTCCATGTTTAGCCAATGTCCGACATACACAAGCACGCACTGGGAGACCGAGACGCGCGTGAGCTAGACCACATACTGATCCAGGGCAAAGGCCCCCCAAAACGTGGCCGCCTGGACGGCCAGCTCGTCCTCATCGCCACCCACGTCCTGTATCTTGTGAAGACCCATCTCGATGGCGAGCTTGATGCTTTGGCCGGCGTAGAACCAGCTCTCCGAGTCACGACCGCAGCTCGCCTCCCGGATGGACATGATGCCGAGGGCCTGGATGGTGGTGAGCGTGTGGTGCGATGTCTCCTCATAGAGCAGTCGCTGGCACTCTTTGAAAAAGTGATCACCTGATGAGTAGGGATCGTCAGGGTTGGCACGCGTGTTGGGCTGACTCGAGAAGCGACATCCCAGGGCCATGAGGGCATTGACAAGGATGGATGAGCAGAAGCGCGGGCGTCCTTGTTGGAAGTCGCTGATGAAGTGCTCTTTGCTGAGCGATGCAAAGGTCGGGTACTCCCAGCAGAAGTACAGCGACAGCAGGTGCTGCACCAGCGATATGTCAGGCGTCAGGCTCGTCCATGTCTCCACGGGGATCTTGACCTGGGGCACATCGTGTGCCATGACCGGCTCGAACTGGCGGTAATGTGTCTGTTGTGGCTGCTGCTGTTGCTGTTGCATCTGCGGCTGTTGCATATGCAGGTGCTCCTGGTTCTGCATAAAGTTCAGTGCGTGGTGCGGAAGCTGCTGTGGGTGCTGGTAAATGTGCTGGTCTGGTAGCGCTTGATTGGGCAGATGCGGGTAAGGCGGCTGCTGGAGCCCTGGCAGCTGCGAGAGGTCTGGTGGCTGGGGTACAAGCGGTTGGTGATGGGGCATCTGTGGCAGTCGTCGGTACTGCTGTTGTTGCTGTTGCTGGGGGTGGTCCGGCTGGTTGGGGCCGTTGACCGTCTCTACCCACGTGTTGACGCGCGAGAAGGAGCCCCTGTTCTCATCTCTCCAAGTGGTATTATCCGTGTGCCGAGACTCGCCCATACCTGGCTGCAGGGACAATGGGTCGCCCCAGGGACTGTTCTGGTCCAGCTCGTGGCGGAGGCCGCTGCTGGGTTGGGACGGGGCCGAGGCGGCCGTGGTCTCGAGGCGGGGAGGCCTCGGAGCTATGTTGATATTGCCCGAGCTCGCCGAGGGGACCGGGCCAGGGCCGCGACGGGGCAGGGCCGCCATGGCGCCGCCGCCCGAGGGGAGGGTGCCGCCCAGCCACTCGGAAATGCTCTCGACGGAGTGGCCGGAGCGCAGACGCTGCAGGACCTCCTCCCAGCGCGAAGGCTCGGCCAGGGCGGACAGGATGGACTCGTTGTTCTGCTGCTGGCGACGGAGCTGGTCGATCTCGGCCCGGAGGTCTTCCTTGGATTGGCGCAAGGGGACTTCGTAGACACACTCGACGCCCTTCTGGGCCTTGCACCTCGAGCACGGCCTCAGACCGTCGCACTGCGTGGCGGGCGGTCAGCATGGCGCCTTCGAGTGTAGCGAGGTAGCTCCATGTGCGGGCTCTGTCACATACCTTTGCCCGCTTCTTCCTGCATTCGTTACAGGCGTTGGGCGTAACAATGCCGGGGCCGCGCTTCCGCTTGGGCTGGGCAGCGCTGGCGGCGGCGGCGGCGGCGGCGGCGGGGCTCAGGGCGGGGTGCTTGCCGTAGCCGCCGCCAACCGAGGGCGTGGTGGACGACTCGGCCGAGTGCTTGGGGCTCGGGCTGGTGAGGGCGGTCCTGTCGGCGCGCCCGGCATCGTCGTCTATGGTGTCCATCGCGTCCATAGCACCCGACAGGAGGGACAGAGACGAGGGGGACAGGCAGGCCGAGGTCGGAAACGAAGGTAAACGAACGTCACCTGGGACGTCACCTGGAATGCGGGCGACGGCGATTTGGGCACGGGAACATTCTGTGCGTCTCGCGCAACATCAACGTCGGAGTTGAGGGCTGGCCGCGTGGAGCCGGCGCGGCTGAGGGTGCTGGCGGGGATGAGGATGTCCGGGGCTGGAGCTAGAGCCTCCAAAAACGTTGCCCAGGGATGGGGCTCGTTTGATAACCTGGTCGGGGGTATGTATAGGGCTGGAAAGAGCTAAGCTATGCGCACAAAGGTATTACGATTATGGGGCCAGCCGCCGTCTCATGACACGGGTAGGAGCTGTGGGTAGGAGCTGCGGGGAGGAGCTGCGGGGAGGAGCCGCGGGTAGTGTGGGTGAAAAGCAGGGAACATGGACGTAGGGCAGGCACGACCCAGGCTTGCTTGGAGCAGACCTATTCACAACCGAGGCCGGAGGCGTCAACGTTGAGAGCCGCCGGTTTGAGGACGCAGTGAGGGGGGCCAGGCATGCAGCAGCTGTGCTGGCCATGGATGGCGTGAGCTGGGGGATCTAGGTAGTGAGGAGTCGAAAAAGAAATCAAAATACAAAAAAAAAAAGAAAAAGGACCGGTTCCATGTGGGGCACACCGACATGGAATTGACCGCCCGACCTCGCATCCCTGCCTCAACAAGATGAGAGAGACTACCACGAATTGGAGTGCATTTTGAAAGGAGTAAGCGGAAGCAGACCTTGTGGAAAGCTAGCAAGATCGAGACAATGGATACCAGCAACTGTGAATCAAAAACAACGACGACCACAAACACGACCGCCGCCACACAACGATCATCCACGAACTGCCAAGCTCCAAGCATGAGGGGTGGAGCTGAAGCAAAAATGACGTGAACCCGCAGCTACCCACTCCCACGAGTTTGGCTAGCATGCAAGAGCCCGCCATTCACCATCGGAGACGCCCCTCTGGGACACTCATCTGCCACCTCAAAGCATCTGCATTTGTGATCTAGGTACCCATATCGCCATGGCCCGGCCGGCTGGCGACGTTGCACACAATCGTTGTGAGATGCAGGGTCCATCCGAGACAGCCGCCCATCCATGCATTTTGTCACACCCGCCCGCCTTTTGCTTCCCAAATGCCCCTTTTCCCGTCCCCGGTGCCAGCAGTCGCCAAGAACAAACTAAAGAAAAGCCAAAGTGCCACGGTTCAAAAGAAGATAGACACGTGTAGAAGAAGTCAGGCAGAGCACTCAAAACGTGCACCCCGACACCCAGCAATGGGATTTCCATACAGAGGAGAACATAAGAAAAAGAAAAAAAAAGAGTGTGTGGTCATGATCCAATTATTACAGCCCGCCCAGCAGCCAGCCAAAAACCACCAAACACACATCAAAATCTTAGTAGTATTTTGTTGGGCTCCGGTTCTTGCTGGGACTGTGCGAGTATCCCCTCTCGTAGCCGCGGTCCCGCTCCGTCTTGCTGGGGCTCAGGCGCCTCGAGGGTGTCTCATTCGGCATGATGGCCTTGACCTCTGACTGAGGCGAGTCATCCGTTTCGGGCGTGTCGCTGAGGAAGATGCCCCTTCTAAGGTTCTTGGGCGTGACGGGCGCCCAGATGAAGGCCTGCTTGGGGTCCTGCGACGGCGGGAAGAGGTGCTGCGGAGGGCCCGACGAGGCCGGCCGCGACGGCGCCGGCGCGCTCGCTCCGCCTTCGTCTGTGCTCATCGACTGCCGGAACTTGCTGAATCCGAGGTTGTTGGCCAGCAAAAAGACAATGACGAGCGACAGGATGAATCCCTGCATGACGCGCGCGGGATCGTTGTCAGCAGAGTCATTTTCATCGAGGTTGCGAGCAGGCTGCACTTACCCATGCTTTGAAGCTGAGCACATTGAAGAACTCGTTGATGGTGACGGCCATGTGCTTGGATGAGATGGCCAGGCTCTTGATCTTCTCCGGGTCCTGGTTCATGCACGATTCCCACTCGTCGCACACTATGGCTAGCGCCGGCAGCCGGTCCGCCTTGGGGGCGCACCTGTTCTTGGTGTACTCGTGCGTGCACGCCTCCATCTCGGCCAGCAGCCTGGACCGCGCCTCGCCGGCCGCATAGCGGAAGTCAGAAACGATCATGGACCCCATCGCCGCGAACAGCGCCACGCCCATGAGCGCGAAGAAGAGATTCACGCCGCACTGAATCCACCACGACATGATGACGGGTGCGTTGGGGTGGTCGTGGATCGCCGTCAGGAAGCTGCTGAACCAACCCGAACCCCCGCGTCGCCCGCGCCGGCCGCTACCAGCTTTGCCGCGCCCGTCGCCCTCCTGGCCCTCCCAGTCGCTATCCGACTCGTCCGACTCGTGGTTCAGCCGCGGACGTACGCTTCCCACGTCCCTGTCGCCAAACTGTCGCTTGCGCTTCCGGATCTTGTCGCGCGGGCGCGCGTCCCGGGCCCGGGGCAGCTCGCCTCGTCCTGATGCGTGCACGCTCTTGCTGGGAGAGGCGGCGCCGCCAAAGATGTTCCTCCGTGTGGCGGGCGTGATGGTCATGTTGCGAAAGTCGTCGCGGCTGTCGGGCTCGGGTGTCTCGGTCGGCGCGTCCGAAGCGTCCGTCAGGGCCGGGCTGGTCTCGGCGCCAGACATTTCGGCCGCAGGCTCGTCAAACCGGCGCTGCGGTGTGATGAAGGCGGGATTACGGAAGGCCGGCGCCTGAGGCCTGTTTTGCAGGTTCGGCCTGAACATGGACGACGGCGGCGGGGGTTGCGATTTGGAAGGAGAGGCTGCCATGGCGACGTCGTCGGGTTTTGCGAACGGATTGCTTGGACCCGAGATTCTTGACGGGGTGCCAAAGGTCTGGAGCCTTTGGCCTCGTAGACCTTGCAGGAAGGGACTTGACGCATTGACTGGCCCACGACCATCATTGTATTCGAAGTCCATACCGCCCTCCCAAGTCCGTCGATCGTTCATGGTATAGGGCCACGGCGGGGTCGGGCACCCAATGGTCGGCCTCGCTGTGTGCGATGCTACGGATGGGCGACGGTGTAGATCGGTTGGATGGGATAAGCAGGCAAGCTGTTGACAGGTAGCTCTATAGGTAGGTAGGTAGGTAGGTAGCTCCGGAGTAAGGCTGGGAGCTAGCAGTTCAGCAACGAGCAGCCGTGACTGGGGTTTTGTGGAAGCAACAGGCGGGCGTGGGTCGCTGGCAGATTTGACTAAAATCCAAATGGCGGCTTGCAGGTCGCAGCCGTGCGTCGTTGGTGGCAACAAGGCGACAAAGTAAACAAACGTGTTACGTGCCTGAGGCCCAAGCTCTTCCACCCCCTCTCGCGCCAGCGATTCAAGTGGGGCGCGGCTGCAAGTGCCAGTGGTGTGTGGAGTCAGGCGGCGCTGAGAGCAGCACAGGCAGGCACGGAAAGGAGATGTGTGGTAGCAGGGGTTATTTTTCGCGAGGCTCAAAGGAATGCTTCACCTCGAATCGTGCCGCCTAAACCTCACAAACGCGCTTCACCTTAGCTACTTGCCTCAACGACAATCAACTCAGTGGAAAAGGAAAGAACCATCATCGTTCTCATTATTGGCCGCGACGGAAACTAGCATCCAAATCGACGACGTCTGTTACTCGCTCGATTAATCTGGGCCGTTCTGGCCTCGCGAGGCCGCCTTTCGCTGTTCCTTGCGGCTTCCATCGTTCGTCGCTTCAACGCCAGCCACCCATCACATAACCCGCCATGTCCGACGCCGGCTCAGAGAAGGCCGCCTCGCCTCCGCCGGCCCGCGACAACGATGAGGAGACCAACTCGCCCGCCGCTGCCGCCGCCGCTGCCGACAACGACAACGACTCGGACGTGCTCTCCGACATTGACGAGGATGTGTTCGAGGAGGAGTACAACCCGGACACGGCGCGCGTCGAGGAGCGCGACTACGAGGACATCGCCAAGAGCCTGAAGGCGTCGAAGCGGAAGCGGCCCGCGGGCGAGACCGCCCGGAAGCCCAAGGAGGGCCGGCGCGACAAGAAGCGCCGGACCGCCGACCAGGACGACGACCAGGACGGCGGCGACGGCTCGGACGGCGAGTTCTCGGGCGAGGGCAGGCGGAACAAGGGCCGGGCCGCCCGCACCGCCGGCGAGTCCGTCCGGCGGACCAAGCCCAAGGAGAAGAGCGCCGAGCCCGAGATCGACGAGGCCAGCCTGACGCCCGAGGAGCGCCGTAAGAGGGCCCTGATGAGGGCCATGGACGCCGCGACTAAGAATCCGACGAAACGGCGGCGCAAGAAGGACGAGGTGGTATGTTTCCCCAAACAAGAGGGAACCAACAAGCGAGACATGACACTAACCCGCACCTGCAGGACCTCGAGGAGCAAGCAGACGAGGAGATCGCCGAGCTCAAGATCAGCATGGAGAACGCCTGCGTGTCGGACAATAAGGCGCGCGAGGAGGGCAAGCCGGCCGTCGGCAAGCTTAAGTTGCTGCCGCGCGTGCTATCCATGATGAACCGCACCTCTATCCAACACGCCATCCTGGACCCCGAGACCAACTTTCTGCAGTCGGTCCGCTTCTTCCTCGAGCCGCTCAACGACGGCTCGCTCCCCGCCTACAACGTCCAGCACGACATCTTCTCGGCCCTAACGCGCCTGCCCATCGGCAAGGAGGCCCTGCTCAGCTCGGGCATCGGCAAGGTCGTGCTCTTTTACACCAAGAGCACCCGCCCCCAGCCTGTTGTCAAGCGCATGGCCGAGAAGCTGGTCGGCGAGTGGAGTAGGCCCATCTTGAAGCGGACCGACGACTTTCGAAAGCGCTCCATCCAGACGCGCGAGTTTGATTATGCGTAAGTCTCTTTTTTTTTCTTTTTCTCCTTGTATCTTTCAACAACGTCCAGCCACTAACTCACCAAAAACAGCGCCGCAAAGAACGCCCAGGAGCTGGCCGCCTATAGTAACTCGCAGTCGTCTCAGCTGCCGACGCCGTCACAGCGCGGCGGCGTCTCGTCCTTTGAGCGCGAGATCCAGAAGAAGCTCGCGCCCGAGAACAGGTCGAGCCGCGCCCAGCCCCCCGGCCTGCCCCAGACCTACACCATCGCGCCCCAGAGCAACTTTGACGTCGCCGCCCGCGCCCAGGACTACCGCCCCATCGGCGCCGGCGGCATGGAGGCCTTCAGGAAGATGACGCAGAAGGGCAAGGGCGGTAGGCGAGGCTAGACGGCGGTTTTTTGTTTTTTTGCTTCTCCCGTTGCGTGACCAAAGTCGGTAGATCGCACTTTACCTTTTCTTTTTGGTTTGGCTTTGTTATTTTTTCTTGTATTACTGTGGACGGACAGCCATATCATACTGCTCCGAAATCGAATTTCAAGAGGCTCTTTTTATCCCGACCGCTGTCGAGATTTGCACACAAATTGCACGCTCCATGGATCCGTCCCCGTAAACATCATGACCATACTGCCTGGATTAAAGAAGAAATATCATCCGCCCGTGCCATGGAGTTGAAAAAACAACATGATCACATGCGACACTAATCGGGGCCATAACAAAAGCGTCAGTGACATCATGCATCATGTGTACGTTGCTATGTATGGAAGCTGGAATGAAAAGATAAAAAGAACAGAAAAACAGTCCTGCAATGCGCCTGTCTATCCGGAAGTGGTCAAACGCTGTAAAGAAAAGAACGAAGAACAAAAAAAAACAAAAAACAGAGGCTTTGGGTGTGGTCTGGTTTGCGCTGTTGAATGCGAGTTCTCAACCCCCAACGCACGCTCCCATCCCAAATTGTCGGTGGAAGCCATCCCTGCATGCTTTCCATCCGACTCGTCCCTACCGTGTTGTCCTTCCCACCCGATCGCCCCAACACACCCCTCCCGCGGGAAGAAACGTCTGCAGCTCGCGTCGCTCCCAACTTGCACGGATGCCAAACATGTGGGCATCAAGACGGGAGAGAGCCAGCAGCACTGTTTCACAGCGGACATTGCCTTGACAACCTTCCCCAAGGGACGGCCCGAGCCCCATCCGTGCTCCGCTAGCCGTTCGTAACACACACACACACACACACACACACACACACACACACGCATACACCACACACACCCAGTGCCTCAAAGAAGAACAGGAACAAGCGTTTTAAATCTCGTGGCTGAGGCTGCCCAGCAGGAGGGGGAAAATAGCGCAGAAATGAAACGGACCGCCAGTCTAGCAGACATTTCGAAAACTGCAACATGTGCGGATCCAAACAGCCCTTGCAAAGAAAGGGGATGACAAAACAAGCGCTTGGCCGACAGGTACGCAACGAACAGATGGAGAAACAAGAGAAGATAGCAGGCCATTCATAAGCGAGCGGACCTCCCCCCACGTGTCGTCGTCAGGTTGACACACCGTTCGGTCCGTCCGATCGAGGAGGAGGGGGAGTGAGACTGTGACCCATCTTGGCCACTGTCAAGGGTCAGAGCTGGTCGTGAGTACCATCAATACCAGCTCGCTCGCTCGGGGGCGGGTTGGCTGGGTAGGTAGAAAGGTAGGTAGGTAGATTGATCCGCGACAGCAGACAGTTGTTGCTGGAGCCTTGGCTTCTCCCGCCTGCCACCCCCGTCCATCACCATCCACCGCTTCAGCGTTTGCGAACCTCGTTGGCCCACCCGTCTATGCCCTCGCCCCGGCTGCCGACGTCGATCCCTGGGATCCGGACGCCCTTCATGCCTGGGGTGTCCTCCAGCCAGACGTGGCCAGCCATGCCGCCCGCGTTCGCCCGCTTTTCTGGTATAAGCTCCAGCATGGGCAGGAGGAAGTCGGCAATTCTCCTGCCATCCTCCTCTTTGAAGTGGTACTTCTCCTTCAGCACCTCGGGCAACGCCCAATGCCTCAGCCGGTGGATGTTGCGCAGCTCTCCCTTGCGGTTGAATATCTCCTGCGACCACTTGCCCGAAAGGCAGAGCGACTTTGGGAACGGGCCCAGCAGCTCGATTATCTGTGCGATGTGGTCGTCGTCTTTACCGTACTTTGTCCCCGACTGAGGATCGAAGAGATAGTCACCCGTGATGAGTTCGAAAACCTGCGATTCGCGAGAAAACAAAAAGCTGTTAGGAACCCAGTAGCCCTCCATTTTCGAGTCAAGCAAGGTGGGGGGAGCCTTGTTTCGGGTGGCAACGGCACATCTTGTCACATGGCGTCCGCCACCAACACGGCCAGCAAGTACAAAAAAAAAAAAAGCAAGGCATGACGGGTGGGGGGATGTTTAGGGGTGGCGTGCAGGACAGGGGGAGGGGCCTGTGGAAGAAAAAGAAAACCTACCATCGCCGCCATACTCCAAACATCTGTGCTAGCGCCCCATTTGGAGCCCAAGATCACCTCGGGCGACCGATATTGCCTCGTCTGAATGTCGTTTGTGAAATGGTGGTTGACCCAGCAGGCGTTGCCCAGGTCTGCGATCTTGACACTGATTATGTCAAAGCCGTGGCTGTCTTCTGCCTTGCGCTTCTCGCCGGCCTTATCAAGCGAGATGCCCGAAACTTCTCTAGAGAGGACATCTCTGTAGTAGCGTCGGCCGTTAGCCATCGTGTTTCCATGGACTATTGAGGCAGGAGACGCCAGGGACTTACGCTGACTTTTCCCGCTGCTTCTGCTTGTCATCGCCGTCCCGCCTCGGCGAAGAATCGTATTTTGATCCTGCCAAGAAGAAACATCAGACATGTTAGTAAGATGCCGGAACCGAGGTCAAGCAACCGACAGATTCAAGGCGGCAGGGCCCGACTCACCTTCGTGCAGCATCTGGCCGAGACTGGAGCCATGGGAGCTTGGCGAAGGGAAGAGGTTGTTCTGATTAAATGATGCGTTGAGGGGCGAGGGTAATGGCTGGCTGCCGGTGATGAGGGTCCTCCGACGCCTGCGGCCGTTACGGTTGTTTTCCTTGTCTGCAGGCTCGTTCTTTACAACTCTCTTGACAATCTGCTCGACGTCGCCGATCTCGATCAAGACGTTCTCGGGCTTGAGGTCGGTGTGGATGATGCCGCACTCCCGATGGAGGTAATCGAGGCCGAGGAGGACCTGCTTGGTGATCTGCTTGACCAGGGCCATGGGAATCCCCCTATGATTCCACTTCTTGATCAGACCAAGAAGATTCTCGCCCAGGACCTCGAACACCATGCAGACGTGGGTGCCGTTGGGGCCCTTGTGTTCGAACGAGTCGAGAAGGCTGACGACGTGCTTGCGGCCGGGGTGGTCGGGCTTGGCCTGCACAATCTTGCTAAGGAGCTTGATTTCGTCGATGGCGGTCTCGGTGTAGTGGGCGGCGGAGCGCACAACCTTGAGGGCGACGTGCTTGCCGTTGGTGTTGTCGCGGCTCAGCCAGACGGTGGAGAAGTGGCCCCAGCCCAGCTTGCGCACAATCGTGTACTTGCCATCCTTGAACTTCTCGCCGATGGTGACGGGATGGTAGCCGCCCTTGCAGTAGTCCTCCGAATCCTCCTCATCGGCGGTGTTCTCGGCGGCGTCTTCGTGGGAGGACGTGGATGTCGGCGAGTGGTTCATTGTGGAGGAGAGGTGTGCGGTCCTGCAGGTCAGGCAAGCCAGGCGCTCGGGTCAGCAGTCTATACCAGGGGAGCGCGTGCGTCGAGACAAGGCGCGCGAACGGACGGTGGTGGCGATGGAGACGAGACGGTGGTGTGGGTAAAATCAATGTTGTGTCCGCCGTCGGGGTATTTTATACGGGGATCAGAAGCGACAGCGGCACACAATAAGCATGGCGGCGCAGGCCGTCGTTAAGTGAAGCCGCCGCAGTGCAAAGTGGGGATGCGGAGTGCGCGCTGATTGCGCTGATGCAGTCGGCGCTTGCGCTGCGTGGGTATTTCGAGACCCCCGCTTGACTGGCATAGAAAGCAAAAACACCACAAGTTGAGGCCAAGGGAGGACACGACGTGGTGAGATTGTACGTATGGGCGTGCGTGCGTGCGGCGTGAGCCGTAAGGCGGGCGGCCATACAGACAGACAGGGTGGGTGCGCTGGACTGGACTTTTTTCTTTCTTTTTTTTTTTTGGGGGGGGGAGTCGAGTCGCTGCCCGGCTGGCTTCAGGCGCGGGCGGCGCATGGGCAACAGGGAACAAAAAGCAGAGTGGTTAAAAACCTTGTCTTCAGCATTGCGTCTTTCTTGCTGTCTCCATCGCGAAGCGAAGGAAGCAGTGTTTTGAACATAAGGTCGTGCTAACGCGGGCGACGGCAGGGCCTGACAAGAAAAAAAAGAAAAAAGAGGCACGGCAGAAAGGGGAGAGGTCAGAAAGGAATAGAGAGGATGCGTGTTGAAGGCGAGAGATGCTGATGTGTGTTTGGTGCTTCAGGCGGGCGCCATGTCAACTTTGAGCGTGCTGGTGGGTAGAGTGGGTGGGTTCAATCGATTGAGGCAACCTGACGGTGAGGATTGGGGAGGGGCGGGGGAGTAGCGGGTTGGGCTGGCTGGGCAGGTGCGCGGGAAGGGGGCCTGCCTTGACTAGTGGGGTTCGTTCTGTGTTATGTGCGTGTGTGTGTGTGTATATGTGTAGGTGTGTGTGGGCGACTGTGGGCGAGTGTGTGTGCCTCACGGAACTGTACGAGAGCCCGAGTGTGCGCCGCCTGCTGTAGCTGGTTGCTTGGCTGGCGCCGGGCCTGTGCTCTCTGCCTTGTTGTTCCCTCTTCGCGTGACGCCGTCGCAGTCCCTAGGAAAGTAGCCGAGAGGGGAGGGGACCGCAGCCATCGCCATGGGCTGCAGCGCTGATATGCGAGGCGAGGCCCACCCAGCAGCGTGCAGGTTCCCGCAATGGCTGGGCATTCACTGGCCACCAACCCGTCCGCCTGACGACAAGCGCCAGATCGCCTCCGCGCTCCTGTCGCTTGGAGGAGGTCTTTGGGCTTTGGGAGGGACGCGGGCGGGCCAACGACAAGGCCAGGAGAAAAATGGGAAATAAAGCATGGATGGCAACAAGGACAATAAAATAAAAAAAGGACCCCATTGTCGGCCCGTCAGGCAGCGCAACACAGCACCGCACGACTCGAATCCAAGCCGCCAGCTCCTTGCAGCGACCCAACGTGCCAACCTCGCCTCGAGCGGCAGCAGACCCAACCCGACCAGCAGGCTGCGGCTGCTGCTGCCCTTGCACTGCACGCCGATCCGGCTCCAGCTGCTCAGGCTCCGCTGGCCGACTGGGCTGGTCTCCAGCTGCACGCACCCCGCCACCAAACCCAGCCAGGGTCGGGAGAGGGCAAACAGAGGTTGGCCGAATCCCGCAAACACTTGATTGATCTGTGAAGCGGCCACTTCTGGAGCCCCTTGCGACACATGGTGGGGGGCCAAAAAAAAAAATGCAATAAAACAGAAAGATGAAAATGGCCATCTCGACAGCCGATGCTAGGCCGCGCGAGAACAGACAAGAGGCTGTGGGGGTGGAGTGACGGCGCGCCAAAAAGCCTTGATGGTGGCGCATGCCAGCGCAAACAACAAGGTAGGGGAAAGTATAATAATAAAGGAGCGACTAAGAAAGGAGCGGTACTCACCCTGGCGCGACCCTCGGGCTCTCGGTTGTGATAATGGGCTTGAGGGCCTCCTTTTTCCGCTTCTTAAGCACGTCGGCCGCCGAGGAGCTTCCGTTGAGGCTGTCCTGCTGCGCCGCCGGCGAAACCGCGCCCTGTGTTCCGTTCATCGTTGTTCCGTCCTAACGCTGCTCCTGTGTTGAATAAATCCCGCGCCCTTGTCTTGTTTTTTGTTTTCGGCTCGTCGGCTTCCACGGCTGATTCCTTCGGGTCGATCGGGGGGACAAACGCGCCGCGAGGGGGCTGAACGCTGTGCTGCAAGCAAACAATGAATAAAACGAAAGATGGAGATATATGGGATGAAAAAACCAGAGGACACCAAAGGCACAGGTGAGGATTTGCCACGAGATAATCCAGGTATGCGACGCGACAGAAACGGCAGGTGGGCCGCTTTTGCGGTGAAAAGGTAGCTTTTGCGCGGGCGGGGTTTCTCGCTGGTCGGCGATGTGTCGACCTGGCGCGGGCGCAGAAAAGGGGAGGTCGGATTGAGATAGTATAAATCAATAAAGTGATGAGTGTGCCAATATTGTAAAAGCTGGGCGGCAACAAGAGTAGGGGTTTGCGCGCGCTGGGCTGGGCTGAGCCGCACTGAGGGAGTTGGCCGTCGTCGTCGTCGTCGTCGTCGCAGCAAAGGTGCTGCACGGTTGGGCGTAGATGGGCGGTCTCGACTCCGGGCCTCGTATCCAGGGCGCGTCCGCGTGCGAGGCGCCTTCCGGGCCACTTGGTTCCGGCGACGAGGAGCTACGTTGGCGTTTTTGCCTTGTCGGGGGTGGCTGGCCGTTGCGGTTGGTCTGCGGCTGCCGAGACAGCGCGTCGCTTTTTCTGTGCAAAAGCCTGGCTAGACCCGAGTCTGGGCTTGATGGGCTTTGGTAGGAAGGCGTGCGCAGATGTCGGCAGACGTGTGAACCTAACCAAAGGCACGGCAAGCCTATACTGCTGTTTTTCTAGGAAGTTTGTGTTGTCTTGGTGTTCTGCCTCCTTGTGTGTGGCGACGGCGGAAGATGACGGGATGATGGAGATGCGCGACGTTTCCGTGGAAGCCAAATGGGCTGCGTCCAGTGATTGGTGGGGGCGATGGTGGGGATTTGGGCGTGTTTTTTTTTCTCTCTTTCTGCCTTCCTTTCAAACCTAGGCTTGGTCAATCAGAGCCGACGTCATTGACGGGCAGCAGTACCGCTGCAACGGGTCTTGATTATCTGCTGGATTGGGATCACCATAAAATTGGGAATGCAAAAAGGAGGCCAAGTGTGCGAAGAGGAGAGTGGAAAGAGCGCCACCATTCACCCACACAAAGACCGGAGGCTGGGGGGTTAGATAGGCGGTAGCTCTGGCAAGTCTGCCTGGGGCCAGTGGGCGCATGTGGGAACAGGCTGGGATGGGATGCTATTTTGATCCAGCACCAGGTGGGCACGACGCTTCTGGGAGCCAAGGATGGGATCCATTTTCTGGCACTCCTGTGTCCCTTTCTCCTGCCTCCCCCACCAGCCAGGGCACAGCCCGTACATTGCAGCAGACAGACATGCTACCCAGCGCCCAGGCCGGCAAAGAATGCATTGTGCCTGCCCATCCACTTCCCTTCCCTCAACAGTGCCCAACAGGGCAGCCAACAGTGCCGGGCTTTTGGGTCGGGCACATCTTTACGTTGTTTTGAGGCAAGCAAACTGCAAGCACTTGAGACCAAGGAATGAAGAGGCAGCACGCAAAATGGGTAGCACAATTGCATGTGCCCAGTCATGAGCGTCCCACCATCTTTTTTTCCCCGCCCGAGGCCCAGCGGCGCAAACGCAGCCCACCTGCACCACAGCGAGCGACACGGGTTGACATCATTTTCAGGTGGCAGCCCGCCAGGCAGCGCTGGGTCGGGTCCCGCCCAGCCGTTTGTGACAGCAATCAAGTCGAGGCCCTGGCCTGTGCTGCTCCCGAAAAGGAAAGAAAAAAAGAGGGGATCCTGTCTGAAACGGGTTCCAAAAGAACGGCGCCCGGGAAGTGCTGGCCATGGCAAAGAATACCTGACGAAGCCCTACCCCGGACTTTAGATGCCCGGCTTTTCCTGGCCAGCCCAGGAGGTGAGTCGACCCCGACCCGTAACCTAAGCGAATACGCCCCGGAAAAGCTGCGGCAGTGGATGTGTGTCTCTCATCATCCAGCGGGCAACTGCCCATGACCTCACCGGTCGCCCACGCCAAGCACTTCGGGAGCTAGGTGCCGTGCGTTACAACGACCAGGGGCGGAAGGCTGCAGCAGCTACAGAATAACGATTTGTGCAATAAGGTACACCTCCTCTGAGCCAATCTGAGCCGTCGGTTCCAGCTCGTGGCCCCCAAGTCAGACCCTCCCTAGGCTACCCAGATGAAGGGCAGCAGATCAAATCACAAGGGCGAGCGGCCATCGTTGGTCACGTTTTCTAACCTTTGGATATATCAATTATCGCATTCCTCATTCCTCCGAGAAGACGGTCGATAGCGCCTGGCCTGTGACGAGCCGAGGTGGCCGCGGATGATATAGTCACGAGCAATCTTTTTTCTGCAATCTGTGATCAACCTTTTCTCTCTTGCCTTTTTCTGAATTTCTGTCTTCGTCATATTCCCTTCGCCCCACCAGCCATGCCTGCCGAACATCGCCCTCGCCAATCGCCATCTCTTCAATACAACAGAGTTCCAGGATTTTGGGCTACCCATGGCTGCGCCCTGCTGAACCCTCCCAAGACGGGACCAAGTCCAGAGAAGCCCGGCTGGCTGTGAGCTGACGCCGGGTCTGGATCCTCGACAAGGACAGAAGTTCATATGCAAATAGGTGCTGGATTGATACCGCGCAAGCTACATGCTGCATCTATTTAACGCTTCACCGGGGCAGCCACCCTTCCGGGATGACAAGCCTCTGGCAATACACAACACAGACAAATACACAGACGCGGCACGCGGAACAGCTCCACTCCCATCACCTTGCCATCTCCCGTGCTTCGTAACCGTCCTACCCCAAAAAGGGCATCCCCCTGTCATCCACATAGCCCTCAATGGCATCCATGCCTGCCTCCGTCTCTAACCAAGCGCGACAAAATACAAAGAAACCCCATTTTTCGTAGAAATCAGACGGACGGGTGCGGTATATCCCCCGTGAGTCGTCTCCAGAAAGCCAGAGAAGCACCAGCTCTCTATTCCCAGCGCTGGAAGATTATTGATTAAAGAAAGAACACTTCCTCCTTTGCCTTTCTAACATGTAGATAGATGGGTAGGTATATGTAGCTTGAGGGTATGAGGATGGTAGCTCGTTCGTTGTAGCCACGGTCGGGAGAAAAAAGATTAAAATAGCAAAAGGAAAGAAGACATGGACAAAAGGAATGATAACCGTCAGTTGAACCTGGACCATTGCGCCGTATTTATACATGATATACTCCTCGGTCCGGCCCTAGGACAAATCACGGGTGAGAAGGGTAGAGGCCGGTGGACCAGAAGGCTTGGGCCTGGTGTTGTGGGTGGGCTTGCTGGTGCTGCATCTGTTGTAACTGAGGCCGCGCCTGCATCTGTTGCGCTTGCATTTGCTGGACCTGGAGCTGTTGCGCCTGCAGCTGCCGTTGGGCGTGCAACTGCTGCTGGGGCGGCTGCTGGTCCCGAGGACCTGGCGCCCCTATCGGGTCGTCCACCATTGTGCTGGCGATGCTACCCCAGTCGTTGTACATGAGAGGGGCGCTGCCGAATCCCATGGCCTGGTCAAAGGGCACAAACTCCATGGGTGCGGGCTGGCCACCAGGGGGCGTACCGAGCGCTCCGTTCGGGTACTCGACCTGGACAGGCGAGTAGAATGTTTGGTCAAAGGCAGGCGCCGTGAGGGACCTGTCCATGGCCATGGTCTGCGGGATGGGGTGGGAATCCAGCTCGATGGACTGGGGTGTTGGTGCTTGGACAACCATGCCGTTTTGGAGGGATGAAGTCGTCGAAGTGGGTGACCATTTTGGCTCCGTCATGGGTGTGTCTTCCTCCTGTTTTAGCAAGGGAGTTTGTTGCTGCTGCTGTTGCTCCAGGTCAGGGGGCTGTTGCGCCTGCTCTTGTTGTGGTTGTTGTTGCTGTTCCTGCTGAGGTGGGGGTGGGGTGGGTGCTGCGGATGCTGCGGGAACTGTGCTCGAGGTGCTTGCTGCTCTGCCTGCTTCTGCTCCTGTCCCTCCATCTTCTGATCTGTCCCTTGCTGTGGCAGCTGCAGCTGACCCATGTACTGTGACGGCCTCCGGACGTTGGCGGCGTCGAGCAGGCCGTCATATGTTGCCTGCGTGACGTGAATTGCCTGCTCCCAAGCGAGCTCGACGATGGTCTGAGCGCTGCTCTGGGACGGGTCAAAGAACTCGAGAAGATCCTGGAGCTGGCCTGGGTTCTCGTTTTCGAGGAATCCATGTGATCGACCTGTGTTGCGTGGGTCCCAGCTGATCTTGGGTTGCTGCTCGCGGGGCAGGTGGCCGTACTTGGCAACCTTGAGAGCCTTCCAGGCATCGTAGACGACTGGTTGGTGAAGCAGGCCATAGATGACGAGGGCATGGTCCCAATGCGCCTTGGTCTTGCCAGACTCGTAGTGTACGGCGACGTGATCGAAGTAACGCTCGAGACTGGGAAGAAAAGCAGCACAGAAACCGCAGCCCCAAGCGCGCTTGCGCTTAGAGTACCGTACTACCTTTTCGGCGTGGGGGCACGTGGTGCAGCTGTGGCGCGACTTGTGATGCTGGTTGAATGTATTGGCGCCCCAGAAGACGCGGTTGCAGTCGGGGCAGGGGTACTTCTTGTACCTATTCCGAGGGGTGACAATGGATCGTGTTAGCAGGGTTGAACTTCATCACGGAAATCCTGTCCACCATTAGAATCAATAACTTGGGTCACCGCGGGACGGGTCCTACCTCTCGTGGAACTCCTCTTCGTGACGCTTCCAGTCGAACTTTCGCTGTAGTTTCTGGGGACACGATGTGCACCAGTAGGCTCTGGTCGACGGGCGACTGTTGAACTGCTGGGTACCGGGCAGGTGCGAGTACCGGTTCACGCTTCCGTGAGACGATGTCGAGCTGATGGAGGTGGCCGACGACATTACGCTGGCACGCGACCTCGCGGTTGAGGCGGAATTGGTGGTCGATATTGAGAGCCGGGCACAGTGTCTGCCACGGCTGGCGATACTCTCGAATGCAGCCGCCACATGCTGGTCGACAAGCGACGGGTTCGGCGGCAACGTGCTGGGCGGCTCGCCGGCGGTCGAAGTCGGAGTCGGAGTCGAGGGCGGGAGGGCGGCGGGATTGGCAAAGGCTGGCCAGGCGCCCGAGGCGGCCGACACCTGTTGGCTGTCGCACTTCTCGAGCAGCGCGCGCAGCAGAGCCTCGGGCGAGAGGCCATTGTCCGTTAATGCCTGGACGTGCAGGCGGGCGGCAGCCAGACCGCCATCGTCGTCCTGGTCGGCAGCCACCGGCGGGCCGTGCCGCTTATCCATGTGTGTCGGGCGTGGCAGCCGCTGGGCAGGTCGGAAGCTGGCTCTGCCGATGTGATGGCCGCGTCGTGCAGGTGGTTGCAGTGCCAGGCTCAAACTGGCAGGAGACAACGGTGGTGGTGGTGGTGACGGTGACGATGATGGTGATGTTTGGGAAGGAGCGGCGGTGGTTGACGGCGAGTCGAGCTTGCCAAATGCACCAGATTTGACCAAGCACCAATTCCAGGTGGTGGAAGGTGGAATCGATGGACACGCGGCAGTCGCTGCTTTGGCCAACCAGGCTCAGCAATCCCGGGGGGCCCGCTCCAATCTCCCCGTCAGCGGTCTGCACTCGCCTATTATTTTTATTGATTTTTCGTGGCCTCTCAGCTCTCGCTCGTCTGCGGAAATGCCGAGGACGGGGCAACAGAATGGTGAGAAGGAGAGAGAAGGGAATGGAGAGGGCGAGGAACGTCGCCTAAAAGGAGAGTGCGAAGGGAATCCTGTCAATCAATTGAACGAAAACGAGGGACAGCCCGTCCAACGGCTGTGGGAGCACAAGGAGGATTTTCGATTCTGGCGGCGGCAGCAACAGGGCCCAGGGGCGTGTGAGCGTTGCGTGTGGTGCGGGCACCAGAGTCAGCGGGAAACAAGAAAGGAAAGAGAAGAAGAAGAAAATGCAGACAGAAACAAGAGCAGGGTAGCGAACGGGCGGCATCCGAGGATGCGCGGAGGGATGCAAGAAATTGTTGGCAAAAGTGGCAGATATAAAGCAGTCTCCGCTATTTTCCCCCCCGTCTGCGGCGCTGACCATTCCGTAAAGATCGCCCCAGAGGCCGATCAGCCCAGCCGTGCTGGCTACATAGGACGGTCCTAGCAGCACCTCTCAAAGAGCCTTACGGGTGCAGATTGGCTTGACATGGGGGCCCTTGACAACGTACGGCCAGAGCAGGTTGCTAGTGGCGAAGCTACCGCAACGGCACAGTCCCCCTGCGGTCCGAGGCCTTTGGTCTGTGGCTCCCTCGCGTTCCCCAACGCTTGCTCTGATGCGTGTTACTCTATGCTCGTTCGCCCACACGCACCACTTACGCCCAGTCACACCAGTCCAGAGATAGGGGATGGCTGTCTCCCAAATATGGACACACACCACACACAACAACAAGACTCGACCAGAACGACAGCAGCAGGGTTTGCCGGCGATCATCTTCCTTCGGCAGCCTCCTGCACTTTGCAGCTACCACCCGGCGTGAACCCTGTTGTCAAGGATGCATAGAGCACGTCCACGTTAAGATGGGGAGACCCGCGAGGTACCTTGCTGCCTGGCTGCCTGGGTTGCATGCGATTAGGACCAACGTTCGTCGGTCGAGAACACGCCAATGGGTTCCTGCGCCGGCACATTGCTCCCAGGCAAGCTAGGTAGGCAAAAGAAGTAGCTTCACCTCTTGGCAAAGCGGCCTCGGGGCTTGCCTAGCGAGCTCCCGGCCGACCTCGGGACGTTGGTTGGTCCCTGGCTAAGTCGGGGTGGTGTGGTGGCGGTAGGAACGGGGCACGTTGTTTCAAGCAGACAAGAGCGGTGCTGGACCCTCAGCCACGAAACTTGATGTTTCTGTTTCCCGTATTCCTTCTCCTCGAGCGTTTTACTTTGTTCTAGCCCGTGCTATCGCTGCCGCGTCGTCCCACCCTTGGACAGCATCGCGTGCACGTTCCTGTCGCTACACGAGGGATGCTGATGAAAGGGAGCTGGCTAGAGCTGGGCTGGCGTAGTTCTGCAGCGGGGGAGCGCAGAATATGTGCTAACATGCGCAGGAGACCAGAAGGGGGGAAAGTCAAAATGTAAGGGCAACCAGAAGTGCTAGTAAACAAACAACTGGTGGGAGAAAGAACGCAAGGGAAACAAACGAAACCATACATTTGCTCTCATTAGCGAGAATAGTCGGCAAGCGCGAACTCCTTGGCTGCATCCTTTCTCGCATGGGTCTGTCTGCCTGCTCCCCGACGGCTGTCTTTTTTTGCTCCGACTTTCCGGACTGAAAAATTGGGCGGATGGGCACACATGCGGATAGCAGGGGACAGGGGATGAGCCAGGATTGGCGTGGTGCAAAAGCTTCAAGGGGCTGGGTGCAAACGGCCCTGTCGCCCAAGCAAGCGACCCCAGCTCCCGATGCCTTGAGCCTTGGTTCGTCCGAGGTCCGTCTATTCTCAGGCTGGATGGGGGCCGTGATAGAGGAACATAGACTGGAGAGCTTCGAAGGATCGAACAGTCCGCCCATGAATGCTGGGCGGCAGCAAAAATTTACCGGTTGGCAAGATGATGGCGCCGTCCAATTCCATTGCTTCCATGACGCCGTCGAAAGGGCTGGCTGGCTGCGGCTGTTGCTGGCTGAACCAGCGAGGCACGCACAACGTCCCCCCAGACTGCTAACGCGGATGTCGACAATCAGCAGCTGCCTACGACCATGAGCGAGCGAGCATGTGGATGCCGCGGCAATCTCTCGGAGCCGGAAGGGTGGCACTGATGGGGAGGAGTTGAGCTTGCACCCCTGTCAGGGCGGCAGCAGCCCCCAGCACGCCTGGACAGCCCTGCAATTTGTTGATCACCAGCTGGCCGCGAGACAGACACGGACACGACACGACACGAGCAGGACGCGGCACGTCGAGCTGTTAGTGTATGTGGTGGTGGTGGTGGTGGTGGTAGTTAGTGGTGTAGTGGGAAGACTCAATCAAGGCGCCGCCCAAATTTGCGCTTGCTGAGCCTCATTGGCTGCCGCTCACGAAAGGGGCCTGCATGCGCGCCTGTGAGTGGCAGTAATGGCATGTTTGCGTTTCGAAACGGTGCAGCACCACACTGCCGCACTGTGACGGCGCCTCCCCCTGGACCGTTTCAGGTGGGCCGTTTCCACAGCTGGCTGCAGAACGTCGCGATTTGAACTTCTGCGCCTTATTTAGCCGTTCGCTGTGTGTTCGGTGCCTTTGTCTTTTTTTTCTTTTCTGCTTGTTCAGCCACCAAAGACATATCAAATCCATTTTCGCCTGGCTGCCTCGTACGATCTTCCCGTTTAGTCGTTTTACAATTGTTGTGGCTGAAAAATAGTCGGCCGTTGGTAAAGTGAGGGCGTCTGTGCCCACTGTTGGCTACTCCGTTTTGCATGTCAACTGAAAAAAAAAATCTGTTGGGTTTCGTTCTCAATTCCGCAAACTCCCAAAATGGAAAGAAAAAGAAAACCTAAATCCAAGCCATGTGCTGGCTCCACTCGGAACCAGGTCCCGGATCAGCTCTCGTTTACTACGAAACGACCAACGAGTTGATATTGGCGGGATAAAGGGAGAGCGACAGAAACAGGAGCAGGAAACCGCTGCAGCGCGCATCAATCGTTTCGTTTCATCATCGTCTGCCATATCATCCCGGGACTGCATTCCGGAAACCAAGACTCGCCCGTAGATGCCACTTTTATTTGCCCTTTCTCTCTGCGGATCGACCCCCATTCCTAGGTGGCCCGACTAGCCTTCTTGGCTCAACTCCATGACAGTCAAACACGTGCTCCCCCTTTTTTCCCCTTCCTTTCCCACACGTGCCACGCAACACATCCAGACGGCCTCAGGAGCTGCCCGAAAAAACAAGAAAAAAAAACATGAATAGCTGTAATACAGCGCTTGGGCCTCGAGCGTCGTGGCCGTGGACCGAGCAATCAGACCAGCCGACGGTCCAAACCAGGATCAGTCAGACTTCAAGACAACCTCATCAACTAGCAGGAGGGGGCAGAGGGTGCTGAGGGATCATGAGCACGGACCGCAACACACTTGACTGTTCTTGAAAATAAGAATTTTGGACGGGTTAGCCAGCACAGCGACAGGGGCACCAAGGACAGGCACG